TTGGTCGCCTCGGATGCCATTTTTCTGCGATACGGGGGTAATCTCGATATCGGCACAGACATAGGCTATAATTTCCTAATTAGAAAGTCAGAAGAACCTCAGATATGACAAATTCAGTAAAAAATCGATGGGATTTGGTGAGAAAAATCAGTATTTGGTGGTTTGGAGGGCTTCCGATACAAAAGTTGCAATTTTTTGAGGTTTTGGGGTGCCAAGACTGCACCAAATTTTGCATAACGTAAATACTCCGTAAACCCATCTCCGCAGGTGACTGACGATGACAGCTGAGTTCGTCTCCCCCCCATCCAATCAAGAATCTCAAATTCCGGAAGAAGGTTCAACAGCGATCCTACTGTAGTATTGGGTTTGTCTGTCTGTCATATTAATAATTGCCTGGCCAGTTAGTTAGCTTTTTAGGCCCGTAGGGCTGAACTTCAAAGCCAGATCCCGAAAACCAATGAAATTGGAGTCGGACAGAGGATCGACGGTGACTTGCATGCATGCATACAGAATGCTGGCTTCATAAGCACTAACAAGTACTTGCATGTGTTGGTACTGAATGGTGGGAATGATCTTGTTTTACGTGTTTTACAGAGTACATGCGTATGCAGATAGGTTGGCAGCAGACATGCCAGGAAGGAGTATAGTGCAATGCAATGCAGTGCTTTTACACTGACAGCTATTCCAATTAGTGCTCTTATTAGATACTTTTCCTGTGTGGTAATAGTTCAGTCGAATACGGATTCCATTTCTGTTGCCAATGCCTATGTCGCTATAGATAGACAACAGTCACGGATCATCAATAAAGAATGCTATTAGCAAATTATTGAGATTGCATTATTGTTAATTATTGAAATGTAGATACTACTTGCTGAAATAAGATGATATGGAACAAAAAAAATAAAGGAAACTAATAAATGGATATCGGACATTCTTATATCGTTACAAGTAGAGAAGCAATTACTATAATATCTCACTCTTGTTCACTGTAACATGAATATCATGACCAGAGATTTAATGTGAGAACATCCAAACTATCCTCCATAATATGCTCCTTGTCATCATGCGGATTGGTAAAACAGATAAAGGTCAAGTCAATAAGATTACCAGCAGAGTAGGTCCACGAGGAATAGCAGATGCTTACAGATTGTCATTGTCCTTGTCATATCAAAGCAAGTTAAGGTGTTGCTCTGATTGAAGCTTTCCGTTCTATCGCATATGCCTGGAAGGATCTCCCTTAGTAAACGAGTGGAAAGAATACTAGTATACTAGTTTGACTACTTACTTGAGTTTGTAGGTGAGCTGAATTCTAATGCTCTTTGGCTGCTTATTGTTGAGGTCTACCAGTTTATTGCTAGGCACTTAGGATGTCACCAGAAAGTCAATGAAGCAATTATGGTATGGTATGGAGAGGGATTAATACTGTGCAACATGGTCAATATATTCTAGCATATATCTGATTTCTGCAGCAATTTCTACAGGATCAGCCTTATATAGGTAATTATTAATAGCAATCTGCCGGTTTCTTTCCTTGTCTTCAATGCCAAAACTTTTGGCTTAGGCCTACAGTACATATATAGAGACAATAGTTAGCAAATTTCATCTGGAGTTAAATCGATATATACTCTATGGATCTTGAACATGATCGGACTGTTGTCTTCTACATAGCATGCCAGAGTCAGAACCTACCGCTGTCTCATCCTGGGATTAAGGACCTCAGTAAGCTGTTCCTCGATCTGAATTGTCTCGCTGTGAAGTTTGACATTTCTGCTGGTCCAGTCATAATTCAGACTGGGTATGAGTCGGAATGATATTTCCAAGGTCCAGGACCAGGTCTATCTACTCTTGCAGCCAGTATTGTATAACTATATAACTATATTCATAAAATTCTATGTGTTATATACTACCTCAGCTACGTTATGTCTATACTATGACCTACCTACCTAGCCTAGTGATATAATTTTAGGTAGAATATAAGGATCCTTCTCCTTAACAGAATCCTATTCTTCCTTACTAGTAATCTCAATTAGAGGATACATGTTAGGATGCTATGTAGTTCGTCTCGTAAGAAAATAAGACAATACATATTTTTCTCCACCTCAGTATGTACTTTATAATTATTTACTTTCCTTTCTATGATATTTAGCGGTCCATGTATTATGTCTCCGGAGAAGATCGGACAATGAGCTGAGTGGTATGTACATGCATGTCTGTCTACATAAGTTGGCGCTAAATGTAAAAGTCCAGCACTTGCTCTGCTGTGTTGCCATCTTCTACTACCTATCCCAGTGTGGAAAGAATCTGCAAGTGTATACAGATGTTTATTTCTTTTTTTGTTTCTTTTTTCCCCTTTCCAGGCGACTCGAATTGCAATATCGAGATGGAGAGTCATATGAGTAGGTACTCTGTACAGTCCATTCCCATTCTGGGAAAGGATCAACAAGAAAAATAATCAAAAAAAAATAGTCTACTCCGTAGTAATTTACACTGAAGAATTCTTAAACTTGAAACCGTATTGTCGCCGGACTGTGTAACCAACACTGCTAACTTACTCTGTATGGAGTATCTTCTCTACCTGCCTATCCAACTATCGGACTGATGCGCGCTGCATCATGATCGTCATACATGTCTGTGGTGGGCGCGTATTTACTCTGTACTTGGCTAGCTTCTCTCGTCGACGAGCATGCACAAACCAGACGAGTCTAGGTCGTAGGTAGCAATCTCCTAGTTATCTCCTCGGAGGACTAACTAGAGCCTAGCCGGGCGTATGCTGTTGGATGCCCTCCACAGAGATCCCCAGATTTGGCAACTCTCAACGCTGGTCGTTTCCCTGTCGGTCTTGCTGCAATCAGCAGTCAGTACTCCGTACTCCGTATGGAGTAATGCCTGTCTTCTCCGCACGTCGGAGTCGCCGAGCAGTCGAGTCAAGCGGGACGGGTGTATGCTAGGGGCTCCAAGCGGTCGGTGCTCTCAGTGCTGTCCCTAAGCCTAGTCGTTAACTAAGTGCCTACTAGGGCCTACTAGGGACTGCCTAGTATCCTGGCCTAGATGCTCGACAGCCAAACTATTGGGTCTGTGGCGTACGAAGCGCATAACATGAAGCAGACAATAGAGGATACGTGTAACCACCCATGTTGTCGCGAGACGAACGAATCCTTGTAGTGGGAATACTGGATCGACAGTCTCGGCCGGTCTGCGTATTCAACAAGTCTTGCCGACCTGTCTGCAGAAGACGATCCTCCTATCTAATATTCTATTTCGCGCAGATTCGTCAGCAATGGCGGAATGAATGCGATAGCGGAATGAATTCCTTTTGCAGGAACTATTGGTGATTTGGTTGATCGCAAGGGTGGCCTCGCTGTGCCTCATTTATTTGTTGCCATGGATTTACGGAGTAAATTGGACCCGAGCGAAAGGATCGGCTATGCAAGATCGCGTCGCATCTCTCCGTGTGCTGTCCAGTACGGAGTATGTTGGAAGTCTTTGTCGGACGGCAAGGATGTAAGAAAAAAAAAGCAAAGAAAATGACGTGACAGTAACCTTCCATAAAAGGAGAGAAATCAATACCGTTCTGATACTGTGTAGTCTCGGAGTGATTTCCACCGATACATTAGCATTGTGGGCCAGGACAGGATCAGAGCATCCACGTGGATCAACAGAGTCTTTCCTTGTCTTTATCTCATTTAGCATCGTGAATCGTCCGCCAGTCAATTGAATATGTTACTATACTCCTGCACTGTCGAGTCTAGAATCCGCAAGCCACAACGGCGCATCCAGTCGTATTGACGAAAGGAACACAAAGGTTAAGGTTAGACCAGGACAAATTATTCGCTATTTACTCCGTAGACGCATGTCGATATCATGAACGACCAACAACGGAAAATTCTCCACGCGAAGTGTTTACTCTACGGAATAGGGGGTCTAGTCTATGCCTCACTATCGATTACAATACAATTCGTCCGCCCCTGGAATTTTACGGAAACCGACCAATAATCCCGCGCGTCGACGATCATATTAACAATTAAGTATCACTAATACAGAGTAATATGAACTCACCAAGTGGAGTCTTCTGTGCTTCTACGTCTCCTATCTAGCTCGTGTGCTCCACCCAGCCCTGTCGGGAAATGGCGCCTGTTATGGTAAATAGTGCTAATGGATCAGCAGTACTCCGTACTCCGTACCGTTAATAATCATATTAATGATGATGACTGAAAGGCCTGAATTCTAGAATAGACATTTTCTGACGTCGCGTAAAGCAGTATCCCCTCCTGCTAACCATGCTTGTAACCATGCTTGCTCACTAATTGGCATCGTTGGCTACGAGTGCCATTGCCACGACGATCTGTGCAAAAGATAGCATGTCCGCGGCGCAGGAGACATTCCAGGGTCCATAGGCCTGCATGGTTAGGTACGAATCTGGGGTGACAATTCCATGCTCGAGGTAGTTGGAATAGTTGGAGTCGTATGAGCCGAAGATTATGTAAATTTCATGTCTGTCCTGCGATATGAGCAGGCGACTGAATAATTAGTAATAGAGCCCACAAAGGAGGGAAAAAGCAAAAAAAAAAAGAAAGAAACGAAACAAAAAAAAGAGAGTGACTGGAATGCTAAGCAGGGCCAATTCATCTTTGTCCTCTGGAATTGTAAAGTCGTCAACTCTCCACTGCATCTTCATTGATTGTTCAGCTTGCTTGTCCTTTGGCATAGTGGCAATGTAAAGCAGATGACAGGTTTGGGAGATGCGACTAGGTTGATAGGAATAAGGTCGAGAGGACACCAGGGAAAGTGATCTCCAAGATGAGATGCAAGCTGGCTCTCAATCGCTAAGGTGGGAGAGATAAGGATTGATGTAGAGAGGAAAGAGCAACCAGGTAGGTTAAGGTGAGTGTGAGGATAACAAAGAGGCAAGAGCGATGGGCAATAGATGCGAGCTCTGCAAGATCTTTACATGACTTGCCACCTTAAACTAGCTACGTAGACAGGTCAAACGGCCGGCAATTACCGCCAGAAAAGTCCTTGAGATAAAGACAAACAGCCTGGACTGCTATGTTTAGAAGGTAGTCGGCATTTGAGGCAGGGCGATCTGTATGAAGCCGGTCACTTCCCGCGACAAAGAAGACAAAGGGCGTGAGAAAGATGGTGGCAGAAATCCGCCAAGTTTGGGACTGGCTTTTCTCGATAAAAAGTCTACCTTTCAGTCCTCCTCCCATCTTTTGTGAATATTTCTCACTGTTTAACTTGGCTACCTAGGTAGACACGAGAAGGCCTTCCATTGAATCCAGTTCCAATTCCCTGATTCGGAAGGTTCCAAACAACGGGAGAAGGTCATGCGCTAAGCCCGACTGGGACAACCGACAAGGCGTCATCGGTTCTTTGTTATATCAGCCATCCTCTCCCATTCTTCCCTCCCATTCTTCATTTTATCTTTTTTTTTTTCATTCTCTGCAAATCGATCTGGGGTGTCGGTAGTCAACATGTCATTACGTCGCACCCTCCGTGGCCCACCGGCTTTGCTTTCCAGACAGAAGGCCAAAGAGGCTGCCAAACTGGCTGAAGCCCGTGTGGAAATCATTGCAGGTCTTAAGAAGACCTACGAAAATCTTGACCAAGACCACGCTGATTATCTGGAAACACAGTTTCTGGACTCGCAGAGTGTCAAGGTCGAGTCACTGAACTTCAAGGCAGATGGGGATTATGATATGCAATCACAACCAATCTTCTTCCAGCCTATGCCACGTGATAAGCTGATTGATCACCCCATCAATGATGAGTCTGAGGAGACTAAAGAAGACTTGGCAGTATTGGAAGGCTGTATTGAACCTAATGAAGGCGATGACTACTTATCCCGGGCTGACTTCATGTGCTGCACCCTGGGATTAGAGTTGAGACTGGATCTATCTGGCAGTGAGAGCCATCTTGATCAGCAGAATGACTTTTCATCTACGAATAACATATGGATTGCGAAGGTAGTACTATTCAGAATGGCAATTTAGTGGGAACGAAAAGGGAATGAAAATGAAAATGAGGAAAACAATATCCTGATTGTTGTCGATCATTGTAATGACTTGGGTTTACTTCCGTCACGGGATCTGCGGGGTTCTCGTTATCGATCGCAACTGCGGCTAATAGATGGCAACTTAGTTCTAAAAACAACATCATCATCATCCTTGCTACAGAGTATTACTGCCATTGTTACTATTAATATAATCCTGTAGTGTATGTCTCAGGAAAAAAAAATAAAAATAAAAATAAATAAAAAAGATAGATCGAACTCGATCGACTGAGTGTTATTTCGGACTTGTATTGTAATCTTTCAATGTTAGATACCTTCCTACCTAGTACCTACTAGGTAAGTCTGAATCTATTCATAGAAACCACTGCCCAGAAGCGAGCGAAAGGAAGCCTGCCTGTATACTCCGTAATACTATTACCTGCATGGAGTATCTGCGGAGAAATCACTGGTTAATAAAATCAGAGTTAATGATTTACCCCTCCTGTTTGCCAGTCTCAGCAATGTTTCGCTTCCGCGTGATCGCTGCTTGTTTGTTTGTCCTGTTTGTTTCGTTCGGATGATCTATTTTTATCTTGAAGCAAGCAAGTCCTCACCGTCCTACCTGTTAGTTACACCTGGATTCAGTTTCAGATAGTATATGATAGGATAGGATTGGATGGATAGGATTTAATTTTATCGCATGCAGGCAGGCAGTGCCTCACTTGAGTCGATTCAACTGCTGTTTTCGTTTTGTCTGGTAGATAAAGATAGCAATTTATGTAAACTAATCTAAGCGAACATGTGACCACTGACCACTGACGTATGCTTGTCAGTCCTGAATACTGGATGTTACTTGCAGAGTTATGGAAGGTTGCACACCCTCCCCACTTCATCCATCCCTCCACACCACATGCCCATGTCCATGCCATGCCAATGCCGTGCCCTACTTATGCACAACATGCATTTGGCCCCAAAATACGTACTGTACATACATACGTACGCAGACTCGACCATTCCTCTGTACCCGACGAACCATTCGCATCTTGTCTTGGTCGCTCCACGTGTTGTTTGTCTCACTCTTGTCTTGAGTCCGATTTGGATGTTTTTCTCTTCTGTTGCACTGTAATTGTAATCGCGAGTCAGGACAAGTCTATTGCTGTTATTATTGTTATTATTATTACTATTAATCATATGCAAGTCCAATACAGTCCAATAAATAAAGTATAGACAAGAGGGCCTGATATCAGCGAATGCAAATGCAAATGCAAGAATCGTCACATAATAAATAATATTCCAGGATTGCACAACAATAACAGTACTCTGTACTAACATTGGCAAGCAGCAGGAACATCCAAAATTCTCTCACCCTTCCAGAATCCTTCTAGAAAGGGAAGAAAGGGAAGAAAAAAGAAAGAGGATTTCGTTTTGGACCATGTGGTACCATACTCCGTACTGTACTCCCAAACTACTCCGTACACACGTGGCGAGCTCGCCCGGATGGCCCTGGATGCTGGATGCTACTTAGCCTGTGTGACGGAACAAGGGTGCAGCGACAAATATTATAATCATGATTGACTGATTGTTATGTGCTTGCTCTGCCGGCGTAAGCAGGCCCAATGATAAGATTTTTTAATAAATCTGCTTGCTCACCACGGAGTAGGTACTACTCCGTAATCGCTCAAGCCCAGTCTGAATCTCAATGTAACCCTACACAGCACCCAGGACTCAGGACTCAGGACTCAGCACCTATGACCGACTGACTCCTACCAACAAAGTACATGTGGTGGATGATCACTGAGGTAGGTCATAGATCTATGAGTATGTATGTATGTATGAATACATGCAGATAAGCGAGGCATTATTCTAGTCTGAATCACGAACCACCACCTGACCTGATCTGACCAGGGGATGAGATGAATTCAGGGAGCAATTGCCAGGAACGGCGACATCGCCTATCACAGTCGAGAGATAGTACTATTTTATTGGCAAGGGCAACATTCGATCAACATTCCAGAAGGCAAAGGCTGTGGCGATCAGCAGCTCGCTAGTCCGGAGGTACTAGTAGTCTAGTACCTAACAGTCTACGAGGGCCCTACCTAAACTAGGTGGCGGCAAATAACTGTCGTCTGTGCATGGGGCCAAGGATGAATAACCTCGTGGAGAAGAGTGTCTGATTGGTTGTCTTGGCTGTCAGTCAGCTCGCTTATCGAGTTATCGTTGTTAGGTTGTTTCATCTTGTTAACAGCCACTGCCACTGCATGGAGTACTCCGTACGGAGCATGTTTTGCCCTGCCTGTCTGCTCGGAATGACTGCCGGAGGGTATCCACTGACTGACTGATCTTGGGTAATTGTCACTGGACAGGCACTCTATGTGCATTACATGCCTGTTATAATTACATGTGCATGTATACAAGCCTATCTCAGGCATGTACTGTACATGCTCTGTATGCAGGAGAATTGGTGCCACCCCTTGCATTTTGCATTCCATCCACGTGGTGAGAAGGTTGATCAGTATGTATACATGTAGAATATACAAACTGCCGATTTGACAGAAATCAGGACATACACAAACATTGAGTCTATGTCGAATCCTGTTGTTTCAAGAGTCTGTAGACATATACTCGTACATATCCCTATTAGGCAGGTAGGTAGGGACAGTACTGTGAATGTATTTGTGAACAGGGGTGAGAAAGATGGTTCAGATTTGGACCCCACAGACAAAAGCAAGAAAAGCCACAATATACAAATATAAAAGAAAAAAAAGGAAACAGAGAGGCTATCCTCATACGCAGACACATGTATACAAATATTTAGCATCTAGCTGAGTTAGGTAGGCTATAGGCTATAGGCTATGAATATGGGTTGTTAACTTGTTCTAACAAATCAATAATGAGGTCCAGTGGGTATGTAGATCATTGTTAGAAATTTAGCTAGAATTCGGAACGTGAGGCTCTGATCCCTGGTTCTGTTCCTGCTATCCGTCCTGTCGACGGTTCCATGGTTTGTTCGATCGATCGATCATTCTGCTCCAGCTGGAGGCTTGGCAGGGCGCCATGTCAAAAATATCAACAAACAAAATAACAAATCCCTGTAAAGGCTGTCCTCTTACCCAAAGTATATGCCATACAAATGACCATTCTTCAGAAGAAAAAAAAAGAAGGAAAGGAAAGGAATCCACGCATGCGCGTGCATGTTTCTGTTTCAGATCCTCGTGTGACAAAACCCAGAATAGGCATTGATTGGGTGGAGTGGCGATCTGTTGATCTCCCTTAGATCATTGCATTATTATTCACCTACCTAACCTTTCACGTGTTGACTATTCGAACGTTGATAGATGGATGATGGGTGGCCTTAAACTCTGCACGTCGTACGTACGACCAGAATCAGTATACTCCGTACCTATTGTTAGCGAGCGATCCCCTACGTACGTATGTATGTATGTATGTATGTATGGAATAGGTATGAGCGTTCCAATGTTTGGTCTTGGGGGCCAAATGAAATAAATACGGGTCTCAGTTGCTTGCTACTATAGAGTCGGGCTCTCGGGAACGGAAACCTCTGTATTCCTAATTCCGTACCCCGTGTCCGTGCCGTGTCCGTGTCCGTGTCCGAGGCCGTGTCTGGGCGCCGAACTGCGGCGAGATAATCCATCCTCCGTACCGAGTACTCGGTACATTGTCCAGAAAATCAATACGGAGTACGGAGTACTGCCACTGTGACTACGTACGGGTAAGATATCGAGTAAGCAGACCTATTACCAGCCAAGCCGGACAAAAAGCTTGGCTGTGCGCCCGATGCGCGCATGTCACTGGGCCAGGCTGGTTTATTTCTGCTCCACTCCATCCAGAATCTCTGGGGTACGGAAAACTCCTATTTCTCAAGACAATAGTAATATGGATCCGATTGGTTTGTTTATTAGGAGAGACAATAGTTAACGAAAACGGGTCAGCGAGGGTATCTAGTACAGCATTACCTAAGCAGGTAAATGCTGTATATTATCATGCGGCGCTGTTGACATCATAATAATAATATATTATAACTAACAAAAAGGGGAAGAATTCCCCCAGCGTCGAACTATCGAATTTGATCCAGTGCCTTTTTATTCTGAATTTGGATCTCTACTACGCCGTGCGACAATGATATCATCTACGTTCTGAAGAAGCCGTTATTTCCGAGGACTGTCGATTATTATTAATTGCACTAGTGATAACTAGAGGGCATGTGAATGTCGGTAGTGATCACTACTGCTACAGACAAACAGCTGTTAAGAGCCGCTTAGTCATGTGATTCACTGAAAGGCTCCACACGGAGGACTCCGTACTCCGTACTGTAGATCTATCGTAGGGCTGCCGTGCCGTTCTGCCGCCTGGCACCTGCATATCGAGCAACCATCTTCCACCGCAATTCCAAGCCATAACCGCAGCAAAAGTAGGTGCTGAAGCCGATAAAACGTCGGTCAGACGGTTGTTGAAGCTGGCACAACCTTCTAGAAGGGTGTGGCAGCGTGGCTTGTGCAATCTTCTTTTTTTTTCTCTGCACCGACAGTCGCGCCCAGCGAGAGCGGTGTAAAAATAGGCGCTGCGCCTCGATCCCCGTCCAGGCCGGCATTGGCGTGGCTGGAATCCGCCAATCGCGGCGCCGGACCCCGCGCGCTCGGGGCAGCGATTGGTCCGGTCGCTGTGGCTAGGCAGGGCCTGCCTGCTCGGGCGCGGCTCTCTTCACCGACCTTGTCGGAGAAGAGCGTCGATTTTTGTTTTCGTCCATCCCACCCAGTTGAGATGCGTCTTGGACCTAATCAATCAAGGTTACGCTGCCCCGTTGCCGATGCACCACATCCTGCGGGCCACGGTCCAGTCCGCTCTTCCGCTGGTGAATCTCCGTCCGTCGACAGCATCGTGGACTTGCTTGACTTGCTTGGCTTGCTTTTTGGGGATTGTCGGTCATCTGCTCAGCCTTGCGGAGGTGCGTAATCGCCGCGTGCTTGTCACACAACAACCTCGCCCCTGGACGCTCGGGGACTCGGGGACTCTAGGGCGGTGGCAGGCCAAAATGCCCCGAAGATTTGGAATCGGGCACCCTGCGGCTCTTATTGGGGGCGCGCGCACGAACGAACTGGTTCGTCTCGCCTGCCGCCTTCTCCACCAGTCGTGCCCGCAGCTGGCTCGGGATGCTTTCCCCCGACGGGCGATCATGCGTGGATCGGCGGATCACTGGTCGAGCGCCCGCCCAGCACCCTCGCTTGCCCGCGACGAGGCGCTGCGCTCGTCCATTCACGATCGGCCTGCGCGCCGACCCGAAGGGACGGGACAGCGCGGTGGTGTCCATCCCCTGCCACAACACTCGACTTGCGTGCACAGTGTAGATCCACATCTCTGCTGCGACAAGTCACCACGTCAACTGCTCTGGATGATGACTCAGTTGGCATGCGGGATGCAATGATGACCGATTTTTACCTCCTCGTCACAACGCTCGTCCAATGGCCGGCGCAGTGATATCTTGGTCCATCTAAGCTTAGAGGCGATATGCTTTGCAACGGCACAGCAGGCTAATCATCCTGCCGGTCCGGGTTACCCGTGCTGCAAGGCTGCTGTTGCCTTGCATGCCTTCGCGCAGGCGGGATCCTCTTTTGGCAGGTGCGACGGCATCGTCCTTGCCTCTCGTGCTCCTGCCTCTAGGCCGTGTTGGAAGCATCAGGCATGTCTGGTCACGGGTCACTGCCACCCGTGTAAATTACGCCGTACACCCTCCGTACAAGCGTATGGCGCAGGCACCTCCATCGGTGGCGGTGCACAGCGTTTGGTACGGTAACAGATAGCGTGGTGGAGCGACAAGCCTCTTCCGCTCTCTCTCTACTCTTATTTTTTGATTTTAATTTTTTTTTCTTCTTTTCGTCCGTGTGGGTCGACAGAGATAGCGCCCCCTGTTTTGTGTGTATTTCGCGAACCAGCATGGGCACCGTGGCCGTCAATCGTGCTCCTCTGGGGGGACGACTGGTGCCAGACTGGCAGGCTGCTGCTGGGATGGGTTGACTTGGGCGCCGACTGGCATCTGGACTCTGCCGCTAGCAGGGCACAGCGGCTAGCGCGAGGCCCGACTTCTAAATTGGTTTCCCCCGGCGCTGTCCAAGCCACCATCACCCTTGAATTTGATCCATGCGGGTCGTCCCTGGCCTGCCTGCTTAGTTCTTACTTTTCGTTTCTTTTTTTTTTTCTTCTTCTTCTTTCCCAGTCTGACTGTCCACTCTCTCCAGTCTCCACATCCCTGTGGGCGCAGTCCGCTTAGCGCCGCGGTATGGTAAATCATTCTGGTAACAGCAGAACATGCCACCACCCCCCTGTCCCGCCAAAATGGCACTAAGCCTTCCCCCGGTCCCTGCGGGTGCATTCGCTTGTGCTTCTCGCGCGCTGCAGTCACCATGCTGGGTCCAGTGGAGTGGTCGAGGATCTGGTTGCGGTTGGTGTCCCTCGTAGGGCCAGCAATCATACGCCGCGACTGGACTTGCGAACACATTTAATAACAATCCTGCGTCGCCCTTCCCCGTGCCATCCTCCCTTCTTTCTCGAGGGAACTTCGCTGCAACAAACCAGCACGCAGACGATTAATCCTCCATGTCCTTTCTGACCGGCGGACGTATTTGACTCTCGATTTGCCCCTTCGCATCGGATCTCTCAGGGAATTCTGGGTGCGATTGAGCCTGCAACGCCGTCCGGATCCAGCGCACGACATCACGATCGACTCTGCCTTCCCCCGCGTGGGCGGTGGCATTCTCCTGCTGCAGCCTTTGGTTCTCGCACCAGAGGCTTTGTCTCCGTTCGAGCTCTCTTCAGGAATCTATTTCCGCCATTGTCTTCCCCTTAGCCTTGCTGACGAGGCTGCCGCCGGCACCCTCCGATACGCCGCGTCGCACGTTTCAATACCGGACCGGCCCGCTTCTGCGGGTCACGACGCCGTGGTATGCTTTCTTACTCTGTCGGTCGTATGTAGTGGCAACGGCTAATCGTTCTTCTATTCGTCGCAGATATCTGTCTTGCCCTCGTCAAGACTCCAACAGAGATTCTCCCCCGGTGTTGGCAATTAGCCGCAACTCATATATACGACACGAGGAGCATGCAAATTCAGAAGACTGGATCCGATTTCGTCCTGTCTCCTTCCCACTCGTCTGAGTCCTCATCCGACATGCTTGGCTTGGAATCCTCTCGAGCGCAACACTCCCCTCTGTTTGCGCAACAGCAATTCCCCATAGACTCGGCCATCATGGATCCATTCAGCTACCTCGACGACTTTCACTCCCTCTCTCAGAGCCAGGACCCGGCCCGGTCATTACCACACTCGTTCTATGACACTCCGTCCATGTACGTGGAGTCGACCCCTGACATGCACAAGCCCTTGGCCTTCCCTCCTGTTCCCTCTACACCCCCGATGGCTACTTCTCACTTCTTCGAGCGTATGCCAACGTTGGACAGTGCTTCGGGTCCCTCGATTGCCAGCGCCTCCTCGTCAGCCATGGGATCGCCCAATTCAGGGGCCGCCAATGCCTTCCCGGAGGGTTGGATCGACACCAACCACGGTCTGGGACTGCCTCCATCAGTGATCAACGACCTTCCCAGTGAATACAACCAGATCGGGAGTGCCGTCGACCCTGATTCGGCGTTTGCTACGGAAAAGTTCCCAAATAGCTATGTGGGTGAGTGACAGAATTTTCTTCAGTCTTCTCTCTTCCGTCTTTTTTTCTGAGTCGGGGGGGGGGGGGGGGGGTCGAACTCGACCTCCTTAATGCGGTCCGGTCCCCGATTTCCACCCCTGGATGGTTCTGTCTGCTTTATTCGGCTCTATAAAGTCTATACCGCCAGCTGACTCTCTCTCTCTCTCTCTCTCCAACAGATCCTTTTCTGGTCCAGCCGATGCAACGTCAGATCCCTACATCGATGCCATACACCGAAGACCCGCAGGCTCTGCAGCCCTCGGGCTTCATGTCTCCCTCCACTGTCCCTTCGCCATTGCCTTCCCAGAACCTCTCCACTCCGCAGCTTCACCAGCAACAGCTGTCACAACAAGTGCCTATGGGATCTCCTTATCTGGCCGGCCTCCCTCAAGGAGGCCACTCCCCCTCTCAGTCGCCTCGATCGCGGCAGAGTCCGGCGATCAGCCAACCCGATGGCGAGGAGGAGCCTCGCGCGGACAAGGGCCGCTGTCCCTTCCCCGATTGCGGACGCGTCTTCAAGGACTTGAAGGCGCATGTGCTCACCCATCAGTCCGAACGGCCTGAGAAGTGCCCGATCGTGACGTGTGAGTATCATCACAAAGGGTTTGCGCGCAAATATGACAAGAACCGACACACCTTGACCCACTACAAGGGCACCATGGTCTGCGGGTTTTGCCCGGGCTCTGGCTCGGCTGCCGAGAAGAGCTTCAACCGGGCGGACGTTTTCAAGCGGCACCTGATGTCGGTGCACGGGGTCGAGCAGACTCCTCCGAACTGCCGCAAGAGAAGTCCCACCGCAGCTGCGAGCACCAAGAAGCCGTCTGGTTACAGCGAGGATGCGACGGGCAAGTGCTCCACCTGCTCCGCCACGTTCAGCAACGCGCAGGACTTCTACGAACATCTGGATGACTGTGTGCTGCGGGTCGTGCAACAAGAAGAGCCCAGCGAGGCGATCAACCGGCAGCGGCTGGCCGAGGTGGCTTCCGACGAGGAAGTCAAGAAGACGATGGAGAAACACAACCTGCTGGACACGGCGGATCGATTTGATGAGTATAACGAGGACGAGGAGGACGACGAGAATGAGTCGAGTGATGCTCACCAGCGTCCCGGCAGGGGCATGAAGACGAACAAGTCTGGCTCCGCGTCTCGTGCTCTGGGAACCAGCAGCGCCGTCACCAAGTCTCACGCCGGGGGTGTGAACAAGTCACGAGCGACGGTCTCGCGGCGGCGGGGGAACCGGCATAACTATCCGCCGTCGTGGGGCTGCCCCAGCAGCAAGATGAAGGTCAAGAAGCGGATTCTCTGCGTGTACAACGGCAAACGGCGGCTGTGGAAGGACGAGATGATGCTGGACAACGAATTCGAGGTCCGGCTGCGCCTGCCCGGCGGGGCGGGGGACGGCACGAACCGCGAGGCGTATGTGACGGACCTGGACATTGAGACGCTGAAGCGGGCGGAGGGGGTACTGAATGCGACGGAAGAGGAGCAAGGCCCCTGGTCGGGCAGCTCCTCGAACCGTCTCATCGGGCAGCCGGCTGTCCTGCTTCCTGACATTCCCGTGGAAGAGGTCGACATCGATGAGTTGATGTCGTGACACAGCTGTATTATGGTTTACCTTGATGGTTTGTGATGATTTCCACAGCTGTATCTTATGGTTGCGTTATGATGTTTGATATGGGTATGGTTTGATATGACGGATATGGACAATGACATGGGCATGGCATGGCATGAACGTTGCGAGCGAGCGATATTCTTTTTGGATATTTGTTTAATTTCTTATTATTTCTCATCTCTTTGCAGCGATTGTGACACTACGGTTGGGTATGGCATTGTCTGACTCTGGAAGAAGGACAAAATGGACAAAAGGGACAAAAAGGGACACCACAAGGTTTTTGAGATACCACTGCTATTCCTCATAAAATGATAAACAGTTTCCTTTGAAAAGGGTTCCGGATCTGATAGTTATGTACAGTAGAGTACAGTAATGTATGTATGTATGTACATACTACTGTGTACTCGTTGTAGACTTTTTGAGTTGACCAATAAAAATGACGTTGAATCGGGAGCTTCCGACAACCGCTCGGAACACATCAAACACATCATCATCAAGACCTGTACAGTATATATACCAGCAAATTCTTCGCATCATCACTGAACCACACTGGCTGCACGCAAGATGCTACTCGGACTTCCCGAGAGCCTTCCGGCTCTGGTCGGGAAGCGGTTCACGGCCGCCAGAGAATCGGGGAGTCTGGTGTTCTCGCCGACGCAGCTGACCACCATCCACGCGGGTGGCATAGCAGTAAGCAGCTGGCAGATACCATTAGTGTGCTAACAGTATATATACTGACCATGCATAATTTTTATAAGTATCAACTCCGCTACTGCCCCGCCCTAGCCAAAAAGCCCAAGCCCAGCAATGAAGAAACTGAAACCGAGCGTCGTGGGCCCAAACCGGATCCTTTCCAGGACCCCTCGCCGGATCTTCTCGTCGCTGAAATCCCAACCCCTCCTCGCGCACAACAACAGCAGCAGCAGCAGCAGCAACAACCAAGCCACATCCTCGTCCTGAACAAATTCCCCGTTATCCCGAACCATTTCATCCTCGCGACGAAGACGTATAAAGAGCAGACGGATTTGCTGGAAAAGGAGGATTTGGCTGCTACGTGGGCGTGTTTGAGGGAGTGGGAAACCCCCCAGGAACCACAGAAACAGGATGGACAGAGTGGACAGAAGAAGAGGAGGCTATTCGCCTTTTTCAATTCCGGCCCTGACAGCGGCGCTAGCCAGCCTCATCGACATTTGCAATTCTTGCCTGTGGAGGACATGCGTGCTCAAGAACAGGAGCAGACGTCCGACTCGGGCGGTTCCTGGGAACCATTGATTGACAAGCTCTCGACCGAGCGCGCCATCACGACGAATAATACTTTAGGGTTAAAGCAGCTTCCGGAACTGCCCTTTGCGCATTTTGCTTGCGATATCCCTCCGGATGCGTCTGCCGAGAGGCTGCATGAGATATACTTGAAGCTGTACCGGGCTGCTGTCACGGCGACGCAGTCGGACAGAGTCGATGACTCTGTAGAGACGTATGGCTATGGCCCAGCGGCCATCAGCTACAACCTGGCCATGACAGTGTCAACGATGATGATCTGTCCGCGGAGGAGGGAGCATGCTCGCCTTGACGATATCGGCAGCAGCCAGGACGGCAGCCAAGATGGTGCTGCTGCTGCTGCTGCTGCTGCTGCTGATGCGGGTTTAGTCTCCCTCAACGGAACCATCCTCGCAGGAACGCTGATGGTCAAGGCTGAGAACGAGTGGGATGAGTTGCGCAGGAGGCCTGACTCGCTGAACGGGATTTTGGCGAGTGTGGGGTTTCCGTGGTCGTCGGCGTCTACGAGACTGTGATCTGGCGTCTCATCCCTAAGAAAGAAGGAATATACAGTTCTTCTTCTGTGGACGTCCTAGGGAGGAGGAGCTGATGATGATGATGATGATGATGATGATGATGATCGTGTATGCTGTGCTACGTAAGTAGCTACGTAAGTATGTAGGTATGTATCTATGGATGAATGTATATAATCACACTGGTAATAGCAATGAAAGGATAATCGATCGATCAATCAATCAATCAATCATATCTTGATTGGTGTTTTAACTTACTTCACCTCGACCATACGTACGTATGTTCATATGTACAGGACATGCATACGTAGGAATTTCATGTGTCGTACATATATACATACAAACATGCTACCAGTAGATAGATAAATAGGTATGTAGGTAGATAGATAACGACCTTGAAAACGAAAAAAACGAAAACGAAAAAGAAATTAACACATCCGATAATTCATTCATTACTACCTTACTCTATTTTTTTTCTCTCTTCTTTTCTTTATATTAATCAATTAATCAATTAACTAATTCATTTATTCATTTATTTATTTCTCTCTCTCGCTCAAGTCAAAAGGAGAAAAAAACAATACTGCCCTACTCCTACTCTATTTTTTTTCTTTCTTCTTAATCAATCAATCAATTAATTACTTAATTCATTCATTTCATTCCTCACTCATCAAACAAAAGAAAACAAAAACTATCCTACTAGTAGTTACAACTCTAACACTACTACTACTATTTATAGTCTTCTTTTTTTATATCCTCACACCATATATCTCACACCACTTCTTCTTACACGTCGCATTCCCGAAATGATACGACCCTCCGTGCTGCCAGATGTATTCCGCTACGCGCTTCCATGAGATTTTCCTCAGGCGGAGGAGGGGGATTTGTCCTGCTCCTGAGCCTTCGTTTTCTTCGCTTGACGACGTAGTCGTCGTTGATGATGTTATCGTTGATGATGTTGTTGATGATGATGATGATGATAACACGCGAACGGCTTCGCAGAGGAGGTGGATCTATTATATCCAAGTTAGAATCATGCAGTTGGCAAGATGGTTGTAGGTGATGCTTACATCCCCATCCTCCCACTTCGGCTTCCTCACCCGCTGCTCCTTACTCTTCGTCAGCGTCCGGAAGCGTCCACGTAACGTCGACTCGGCTTCTTCGAATCGGCCGATTTTTTTGATTTCTTTGTAGGACATCCCTCTTCGTTTGCATTCGAGGAGGAAGAGGTCGCGGGCGGTTGTGCGGGAGGTTGTTTTTGAAGAAGGTTTGTTGGAGGATTTGGAGGATTTGGTTTTCTTGGAGGTTTTTTGTTGGGTCTCTGTCTTTGTGTTCCTTGCTCGATTCCGTGTGATTGCGTCGTCGTGGCTGTTTCTACTGATGATGATCGGATTGATGTCCAGTCGCTGCTGCTGCTGCTGCTGCTGCTGCTGTGCGTCCACGGCGAGGGCGCTTGTCCGGATGAAATATCCATGTGCATTGATTCTGATGTGTAGATAGTCGATGGCAATGGCGAGTAGCTGCTGCTGCTAGACGACGAGGACGACGGTGTGTCTGCGACCATCGGCAGACCATATCCGGCTGCGTCTCGCGGATACGCAATCAGACAGTCGTCCACCCAGTCGTTCTGATGATGATGATCTCGGTCCATCGGCAGGTCGATTTCTCTACATCTCCCGCTGCTCGCGTTGAAGGGTTCTACCAGATGATGGATCACGTCTGGCGACGAGCGGTATTTCACCATCTGCGAGGAATAAGGGCTTGCTTCTTCGAAGGAGTCGTCGACTTTGACTTGTTGATGGTGATGATGCAGTTGATAATTTGTAAATGGCGTCCATTCGTTGCCGAACCCTACCGACTGTTGTAGGCTGTTGGATGTCGTCCATGGTTGATGTCCCCGGGGGAATTCTGGCGAGAAATGAACAAGTTCAGGGTGATAGTTGCTGAAACTTGACGTCTTGCCAGGTATTTGGCAATGATCGCTAGCCATGCTGGTCCGCGACAGCCCGTCCGGTGTCTCGTAGAATTTGCTCATGTCGACTGCCCCCGAACCAAGATATTCGACCGACACAGGGGCATGATTCTCTCGCGAGTATATACCGTGCCAGACACCGCTGGGATTCTGATTTGTCCACGTTGCGGACATGTTATATCCCTCGCAGGGCGCTCGCTCCCAAACTGCGGTCATCTTCTGAATTGATTGATCGCAAGGCTAGCCGTCCAGGATGATGTTGTGTTCACCGCTGTTATCGATAGCAATGTTTTGTCAATTCATGCGGTGAGGGCTGCAAATGCAAATGCAGGTCCTGGTCCGTACGGAAATGTAGAAGTAGGCGCGAGCGTACAGATCTTGCACTGAGATGAAAGTGAATGATACTGCTGTTGAATGGCTTTTTCGATGAGTAGAGAATACTTGACGAAGAGCTTCTATAACTCGATGAAACGATGATTAAAAGGATACTTGATGTCCATCTTCACCAGCCAACTGCAGAACGGCCCTTTATGTCCAGCAGAGCAACCCCAGCCCCTGATGCATTGCCCTGACGCATTGCCTGATGCATGGGCATGGCGCGATGCATGGGCATGGCGCGATGCATGGCTGACCATGACTTTGCTCATCAAAATGACGAGTCTAGTCCTGCTCTTCCGCCCGATCTCTCTTTGGCCATATTCAACTCTGGCAACGTGCATCTAGTCTACCTCGTGCGGCGATCGCCAACAAGCAGGCGGCGCGGCGACTGACAGCGCCGTTAGCTAGTTGACTAAGTTCCTGCATTGCAGATCCCCCTCACTCAACGTTTTCAAATTTCTATTATTATATATGACTACTGTATTCTTCCCAGGGCACGCCGCACACGGAGAACTCCGACACCGGCGACGAATAGCGGACAAGCGATCTGCGCTGTCAGAAGATCTCGGCAGGGATATGATTTGAATTTTGCTCCTAATTATACATACAGACAACTCGCCTACTTGCTCCACTTGTCGACGCTCGGAGCGCATCCTGCCCCTTGTCGGCGCTCTGGACCTGCTCGGGATTGACACGTTCATTTTTATTTGATTTTTTTTTGTAAGGATCCGCTGGCTAAACGTTTCTGTTTCATGTTGTTCTGGATAATTCGACTCGCTGATCATGCTGCGTGCCTGCAGGGGCCTTCCCCACATTGTCTAGACGCTCGTGGAGAAGCCAGGTCTGAAGCACGAGGCACAGGCATGAAGCCTCGTGAGAATCGATGCATGGCGTGATATGATATGACATCCAGGCCTGTTAGACACTTTTGCTGCTCCTGCACCGTTGATCTTCTGTCGATCCTGCCGTCGGTGTTCTCTACGCCGAATGCCGTCCAAGCAAGCCACTGTTTCAAGATCTCAGCTATCCGTCCTCCCTCCCTCCCGACGGGAGGGGAGCGCTTGTCTTGGATCACGATGGATCTTGGATCTGCGGATGTTTCGGAAAAAGTCTATGGGGAAATCACATCATAATCCTGGCGAGAACTGAGTGGATGGCTCAGGCTGTTCACTGTACTCCGTACTGTATGAGTCGATAAGGCATAAGCTTATCGCCAAGATGTTCCCCCTCCCTTCTCCATCCCTTTCTTTATTTCAGACAGGATTAATACTAATTAATTATCCGATTCATCCATCCCTTCCTTTACAGAAGGAGAGATCAAGGATATGATTTGAAATAATATCCTATCCTATCCTATCCTCAGCTCTCTCCCTCGCTCCCTCTCTCTCTCTCTCTCTCTCTCTCTCTGAGTCTGTACCCGCTTCCGCTGCATCTGCATTTTCCCTTGCAACAACGCGCCATCATCCAGGAGGTGACTTGTCTTTGTCTGATCTCGTCCCTCTCAAACAGTTCGTATGTACCTAAGGTATACGGAGTACTCTTTTGCATCGGCATCGGCATCGGGTTCTGAAACATCGGCGACGGGAACTGGCAACGGCCGAGATCCCTAACTTGTAAGGGTTAAAAAAAAGAAGGCTTGGCATGGCACGGCGTGGCAGGGCATGGAAAAGCCATCTCAACATCTCAACATCTTCCAGGTTGTGAATTGTCGGACTGGTCTTCAATCTGGGTCCGTGTGTTGTGTGCACGGCACACGAGGTAAGAGCCAGTCCAGAGTGTGCAATCGGCAGCACATAAACATGTATGTTTTTGTAGCCAGTACTCTGTACATGCAGTTGGCATTCATTCTCGCTCATGCAGACTGCACAAAAAAAAAACAGAGTTCGACAGAGTTAAACCCGAGACTGTCAGTAATAGTCCAGACTATCTTGACTGCATGCAAGATACATCCATTCGCATTGATAAAATACAGAAGAGTAATTCGTTTAATTCATTTAATTCCTTTCATGATTTATTTAGTCGTAGACTTACTTACGGAGGATATCTGTATATTTATCTGTATATTTATCATATCGTAGTACTTGATAATTACGATTGGAATTGGAATTGTAATTCATTAGTTTTCTTTCTTCTTGTTGTTGTTATTGCTTTCGTCTTCCTGAGATAGGTCCTTCCCGAATTCGCATTTTATTTCATTTCATTCATGTCATTCAATTCTTGAATTTATGTATCTCGTTCCGGTACCTGGAAAATAAAAACATATATTTGTAGTACTATAATAGGCAGTAATTACAGCTATATATGCATTAAAAAATGAGCAAGATATCTTACAAGGTAAAACAACTAAATCTTCCCTAGTCGTTTTGTTTCTTTACTGTATTGTTCCAGTTGTTGATGAGGGTTGAGCTGATGAACCCGTGCGACTGTCGACTTTACAGTTAATTTATTTAATTAATTAGATCAAATGATCAATATCCAGAACTGACCCATGATACATGCACATGCAATCCATTGAGTCTAATAAATATAATAACAATAATAAAGATAATTATGAGTATGATTATAATGATACTTGCTTGCAAAGACCCACCTATCTATCCACATTCCACACTGGCCTGTAGACTCCATGATTATTGCCGTAAAAGGTAAATACTACAGAGAACTGACACCACACACTCGAAAAACGACGACAAAAAAAAAGAAAAAGAAGAGAAGAGAAGAGAAAAACACAGGTATAATTATTTAATTGAAAGATTTTCTGGTACAATGTATGTAGAATATAGTTATAGAAAACTTAGATCTACTTTTTTTTTAAAAAAAAAGATATGCTCAATATGTTTATGCAAGTACCATCCAATTTATCTTTACTTTTTTTATTGAGAAAAAAAATACACAATAATTCCACAAAACATGCACACGGCAAACAGATGCTTTAGACAAGTAACCGCGATAATATTTCTATTTTCGTTCTTCAGTCTCTTCAGAATGGTGACGAGCTTTTTGTCCAAAATTGGGTAGTTAGTTTCTTGACATATATTCGATCGAAGGTCGGTGGTTAACAATGACTAACTCATCAGTCGGAGTTTCCTGCAATATATACTTACAACCCTTAGTAAAAAAAAGGACTAGATAAATTGGTGAAATGATAAATGAATAGTAGGAAACGGCTACTTACATGCCATCTGCATCGACACTATGGAATCACCGCAACAATAGTCGCGTTCTCCAGGTACAGATTGTGCAGCATATAGTCATACTGCTCCAACCCCTGACTGTCATCCGGCTCATCGGCGTCCAGCATTTCATCGAACAGGCTCGCATTACGCGCCCTGGGCGTCCAGACGTGATCCCCTATCTCTGCGCCTCCAGGCACGTAGATGTCGCGGCCGTCGGAGAGGAGATAATGATTCGGAGGGTCCTGAGTCCCATCGTTGCTGTCAGCATCATCCCTCTTCTTCTTGTCGTGCGCCTTGCCGTTCCGGTCGTACTCGTTGCCGTCGTTGGTGCAGTCCGGGGTCCCCGTCGCCGACTTGCAGTATTGCAGATGGCCGACATTGGAAAAGCTGATTTGAAAATGCCCCGGCCTGCCGCCTAGTCCTACGCTGGAGAAGCGGCCTTGCGAGTAGTAGAAGTTCTTGAGGAGTGCTCCTTGACCTGAAACATCATCGTCAGTCAGTCAGTTGACCGTCAGATCGTCATGGTCACGCACGCCTGTTCTGATCCTTTGGAACGCATCGGTTCACGGCAACGTTGTGGTCGGCGTTCTTGGTTGATTTGTACGGGAACTCGTCGCATTCAAAGGTAGAGCCATAGGGAGCTTTGCTGCAGCGGTTGTTGTTGCCGCACCCAGCAGCGTTGCTTCGAGCCTGCTTCGTGCTGTCGGATGGTTTGTCCCATTCCAGCGACGTGCCTACTTTGCGGCAGTAGGCTCCTGAGCGATATCAGCGGGCTGAAATGAAGACGAAAATGAAAATGAAGATAAAGATAAAGATGAAGATGACCTTTCCCGAACGGTCTACCTACCGTAACACATGTTCTGACAGACCTCTACTCGTGTCAGTGTCTATTGAGATCGAGAATGGAACAAGCGAGCATGAATCTGTTACGTACCCTGCATTCTATCGCTGCAGTCCCAATTGAGGATATGGTTGGGAGTAGCGTGGACAAGCATGTCCAGACCAGTCAAGGTCAGGGCGAGCAGGGGGACGAGGGTGGAAAACCGCATTTTGGAAAGAATTCGAGAATCAAAATAAGAAGTCTGAAGAGGAAGCGATCACAGGAGACTGTTTGTTTGCTGGACGCATTCATGGCAAAGGATGCTATCGAGTTTATATAACTTGTCTCTCGTGTCTACACAGGTCTCGCGATGTCGTTCGGATTCAATCAAGTCGTACAATTTTGCCCCCATTGAGCAGGAACATGGTAACATCGCAGTGAAGGACATGGCGGCTGATCAACGTTGTGTTGGTGATCATTGCTGACTGTGTACTGTACAACGTAGCAACTGATGATTATGATACAGATAAGATCGGCCATGATGAATAATGAAACACTGCACTTGTTCCATTCTTTTGGACTGAATCTTCGATGTATCGGGATTAGGATTTAATGATAGTTGACAGTATTGATTTAGATGTCTGCATCATGCACATAATGTACAGCACATGTACTGTATAGCACCTGTAGGTACTGCACATGTACACCCGATATATTAAGGACTAGCAGCCCCCAAGTCTGATATGAAGCTGTACATCGCCAAGGTGCGGCTGAAAAACCGACTCAATCAGACCAGTCGGGGAGTATCCTGTATTGTACGAAGTCTGCTTAAGGTACATACACCAGGCCAAGCCATGCGCATAGATCAGTTAATTAATCATTAGAGCAGGATTCCTGTGAAACGTTTCATCAGCAGTGATTACCGGCAGACCAACAAAAGCAATTATGCCTCCCTGTTCATGATCTGCGATCACGTCAGCTGTGTTTGAAAAATGTCCAGGGCATAAGATTCTTTTCTTGGCAGCGTTGCATCTCATCCATCTGTCATCAGATTTCATTCACATGACAGACTCGACTCGAACTTTTGCAGCCACCACACAGCAATTCCTTTCTACTCAAAACATTACACAGGTCTGAACACATATTGAACAATTATCTATTTCTCATACCTAACATATCCTCGATTGAGTGTTTGACAAAAATGACCGCGCAACACGATCCTTCATTATCATCACTACCCAGAACCCTCCCCACCGATCTCCAAGACAAGATGAGCCAATACGGGCAATACAACCTCGACAACGCCAAATTCTGCCTCTACGCGCTCACAAACAATCTTCTCACGGAGAACGATCTGGGAAGCATCTGCGCCAGCATCAAAACCATCTACGCGCACAACGTCCTCGCGATGCCAGAGGAGGAAATCCCAGACTTCATCTCCCCCGCTCCAGACTGGTCTTCTCTAACCGAGAAATTTCTCAACCTGGGCGACATACTGTCATATCACGTGCGCGACCTCGACAAGGGCTGGAAACCCTCTGCGGGGAACAATGCCGGAGAGTTGGAGTGGTATCCCTTCGATTTTGTCGTGGTCACGGGCGAAAAAAAGGATAGCTGGAAGTCTGATGGGCTGGTTGTTGTCCATTGCGAACCGGAGGACGACGGTCCTGAGGGTTCTTCATGGACGGTGGATTCCTGTCGGATGCGCGTGGAGAATCTGGGGATGGCGCTTGAGGGCCTTCGTGAGCATGATAGTAGCTTCTCGGATTTGAAAGCGCAGTTTGGGATCTAAAATACGAAGACGAGAAGAACAAAAATTGGTCAGTTACGAAATCGGGTATTGAGATACAGCTTGATAATGGATAACCAATGATATTGTATGACGAAACTTTTCAATATTTCCAAACACTTACCAGGAGATTCTACATTGAATACGAACTTTTATAATAGTCAAGACCAGACGCTAAAAGGCCCATCCGTTACAAGCGCTGTGTAAAACGCCAAAGGAGCCTATAAATATATTGCAGAGAGAATTCGCTACGAGAACTGCAGGGGATTAGATATAGAAACAAAGTGGTTGGGCTATTATAACTCCAACTTTTGCGCAAAATTTGCATTTGTAGCATTCGAAATATGCCTAGTACGAAATATAATCGACAGAGTAATTGATTACATGGCAGATACTTGTAGCTTCAGATTTGGATACTAAATATATCTACATCGCACAATATCTTCTAGATACTGCAAAGCTGTGTCGCTTGGCTCCCCATCATATACTAATCAGACCTTAGAAATAACAAAGGTAAACATTAATCCAAAACTTCCCTATCTTAGTGCATTCTGCAAACTACAGGTGCAGGAATTCAACAAATGGATCTACATTAAGACTAGACATAAAGCTAGACAGCTAGACGGCTAGATACTGCAAGCTTAATGATACTGAGGATTAATTTAATGATAGATAAAGATGAGTATGAACATCCCTTCCAACACGTCCGTATCACTCCATTTGGAGACTGCGATCCCGTGCCAGACTGTGATCCACCCGGAGATCTTGATACACCCGGACGTTCCGACCCATGCGTCTTTCCTCTTCATCGCGATTCTCGTCTGAAGCAGCGTCGTCCGTTTCGGACGGCTCTCGAACAATCGGTAGAGTACTGCTCTTGCTGCCATGTCGACCGATATCTCCATTTTTCTGGGTCGCAATCCAATCCAGCAGTCGATCGACAAGGAGAACTGCAACTGGATGAGTATGGACCTGGACGATAAGGCGAAAACTCACCCTTAAACAGTGCCAAGGCAAACGTAAAGATAATTATCGGAGAAGTCATGAAGAAGTACGTGAGGTCAAAGTTCCTCGAGAATGAGACCAACGCCAGCAAAAACAGACCGAGCAGCACTCGTACTCCGATTGCGATTCCGTTGTGCAGTGGACGAGGGTGTCGCTTCGTCAGGTGTACAAAAGCAGCGAAATACCCCATGGACAGTGCGACGGTAACAAAGTAGTACATGTACACAAACCCTAGAAGGTTGACGTACATCATCAGGAGTGTGCTGCTGCCGAACCGGCTCAGGTCCCCTTTCGTCGGCGTAATTCCCATACTCGCGAAGAGAGACACGGTGACATTCCCCATGAGGTTCCTGGCTTGCACTTGTGTAAGAGCGTAGTCGGTCGAGTTGGTGGTACTGTTATCCGGACAGAGCTGCGGGTTATCCCACAGAGAGTTGAGAATGAGATTGATCGCCAGCCTCTCCTGCAGCGCTCCTTTAGAAAAGTCAATCTCCATGTCTACGATCGTGTCGTTCAGCAGAGCAATGGCATATTGCCTGTCTGGACGAGGCTCCTCGCACGCGAAAATGATCGTTTCACCCAGGTATCTCAATTTCAACGCAATATCCAGTGTCAGCGCAAGGATCTGGGACCCTTCAGAGGAGAGAATGAGCGACGCGTGAAAGGGAAAATGCAGTTGAGTCCAAATTTGCTGGCGTATCTTGCCATAGCGCTCTCGGGGAGAAATGTCATAATACGACTGCCAGAGAAGATACTGTTTGGAAAGATCAGTGCGATAGTTCTGGCAGAACCGCGAGCTATCTTACCACGGTAGTAGTGACCCCAAGTATGTGGACAAAGGACCACATAGTCCAACCCCCAGGAGCGACCATCTTATTAACGATTCTCGTCACCGATATCACACCCTCACCAATGATTATTAGCGTCAGCAATCCCATTCGGACGTTGAGGTGCGTATCCTCGAGCCCAAGTCTCGGCGTCCGACTCGAAATTCCCATGACCCCAAGCGACTCTCCCAGGAAGAGCGGAAACCAGGCTGTCCATACATGAGGCTCTGTAGTACCAAAGGTAAAGAATAACTGTTTGGGCGAATCAATCAGATAGATGCCGTGAATTGCGATATGGTCGGTCATGCTTACTCCCAAATATGCAAAACCACAAGCCGCCAGAACTCCAACAATCATGTACATCCCCCTAACGGAATTTGGCATCTTCTCGCGTATGAGGTATATGTTGATTGTGTACTGTATGGCCAGCATAAACCGACTACCCGCAAGAAGAATGGAGAGCGATCTGAACGCCCAAATGTTTTCGCCACTGATATTCGTAGAGAATCGAGATCCGGCCGAAGCGAATCCAACCATCGCAGCCAGCTGAAATCCTTTGCATATCCGTTCGAATATCGAGTCGTTAGCAAAGCGAATGTCGAACAGAGTCACCTGCAGCCAGGTGAACCATATCACTCCAAGGAAACCGACGTATGCCCATAATGCTGCTCAAACAGTCAGACAACACATCGGCCGGGCTGGCGCAGCTGTTTCACCTTGAAAATTGTTGATCTCATGGGTCGCAGTAAACGTCGACAGATTCCCGACCAGAAAGAGATCATAGAAGAGTTCGATTGGACTGGCGTCCGTCCGCTTACGCAGGCGTGGTTCGGGACTTGTTTCATCGATCGGACTTGCGATCCAAGGGATACAATAACGCGGATTATTTCTGTAGACAAAACTCGTCAGGAATAAATCAATTGGAGCATGTAGATGAGACTGACTGTGACTTGTCTGTGCGAGACTTCCTACGGGTTGAGTCGCGTCTGAAAGAAAGAAAGGAAGGCCGCGGCATGCTAAACTAAAAGTGACCGTTTGATTTGCTATAAACGTTGGGTATCATGATGTCTAGAGCACCAAACGCCAGATAGTGTTACATTCGAAGACCCTGTCAGAGAGAAAAGAGAAAACCGGAGGTCGAAGACCGATGTTATACAAAAGGAAAGAACCAGCGCACTCCCGTTTCGTCCCTTCCCAGACCTGATCCAGCCCACTAATAACACAGAACCGATAACAAATCATCACTCTGCGTCCGAGTCCGCGCGAGAGACAGGCATCGATGTTCCCAGACTTTCCAAGCCTCGATCATTCGGTGGAGCATCTCCAGGCAGTCCACCTTCACCCGGAGCGAGACCGGCTTCGATTCGAAGCTTTTCATATTTCTCACCGGCTTCTTTGATCAAAGTTTGGATCTCAACTTCACGTACTGCGATGTCGGCTTTCTCCTTCCGAAGTTCCTCCATCCGGTTCACCAGCAGCTTCTTTGAGTTCTCCATCTCAGCTAGAGAGGCGCGCAGACGTTCCAGGATATTCGCTAGATGTGGCAGAGATGTGACCTTCGGCGGAGTCCTTGGACGTGTAGATAAGTCACCACGGTCGCTGCCGATGGCGGCCCGCGTTTGGGCTGCTTCATATGCAGCCTTGTGTTCCACATCCGAGTCATCTTCCTCCGAAGTATTTTCAGCTTCCTCAATCAACTCTCGCATCTCTTCGCGCTGTCTCCGCTGCTGTTCAAGCTCCGCTTTTCTGCCCAGGGAGAGCCTGCCGTCCTCGACGTACTCATCAAATCCTTCTGCGAAATCCTCATCATCCCTTACAAGGCGGGTGTTATTCTTCTCCTTTTTCCCATCGAGTGGCAAATAATCTTCTTCATCACCGCCATTTAAAGAAATATACTCCTGCTCTCGGGCTAGTCGTGCCCGTCGCTCTTTCTTCATTCTGATCTCCGCTTCACTGGGGATGACGGTTTGCGTGGACGTCTTCTCTATCTCTCCGAACTTGGCGGCGACATCCACCACTTTGTCAGTCTCATCACCATCTGGCTGAAGAGAGTTGATGTTTCTGGGCGTGGAAGGGGTCGAGTCTCGTAGTTCTTTCAAGTAGTCTTCACCGTAGCTGGGTCTGTCTTGATCTTGCCCGACTCTGAAGGGAAGATGTTCAAAAGACCCGGAAAGCCTGGACGATCGTTGAAATGTGTTCTTCTCTAGGACCCGTCTACCCAGACTAGGTCTCTTGGGTGTAATCACTTCGCTTGTTTCGCCACCATCTTCGGTCATGGACGTCTCCCCAGGGCCGAACGAGAGGCGCAACTTGGATTTCTGTTTTTGCTTGTTCCCCGGTCTCTTAACGACTGGTTCAGTCCCTGGTTTTCTTCCTGTTAGTCTCATTCCTCCACACCATTGAGTGCGTGCAACGCTCGGGGAAGTGGCGGGGTGATAAACTTTGTACCGACCTTGTTCGGTTTTGTCTTCTTCCACATCTTCCTCCTCCCCGCCAACCTTGCGCGCTTTGCGCCGATTTGCAAAAGGCGAATTCATCTTCCACGGAAAATTTTAGTGACTGGTAACTGGGACGTGTAGGGAGAGTTCCTGACTCTCCCGAAGCTGAATCTGGACGCCCGCTGGATGCCGTCAAGAAGCTCCGCATTTTGAAGCTACTCGGGACATCGTTTCTCCGACCAAGCTATCGCACTCCGAACGACGCAAACCAGGTACAAGTCCAATACCCCCCACGCGACCCCCAGCAGCGATCGAGACATCAAGGCCGGACAAAAAAAGAACAATAAACCGACCAAGATGCCTCAAGCGCAGCCAGAGTTAAAGAAGGTATGTACCCTTATGCGAAGGTTTTTGTTTTGTTGGTGGGAAATGGAAAAGCGGCTGACGCGCATCGCTTCTTCGAAAATCTAGTACATGGAAAAGCGGTTGTTCGTTCAGCTGAACGGAAACCGCAAAGTCATTGGCGTATTACGAGGCTACGATGTGAGTCGTCTTTTTCGTTGTTCAAAGGCCGTCCTACTATTTTCGCGAGATTGGCTAGATATCGCAGCGAGTATTTGGCTCATGTTTGAGTTGCTTCTCTTTTACAGGTCTTCATGAACATTGTTCTCGACGAGGCGGTCGAAGAAAAGAGCGGGGGAGAGAAAGTCAAACTAGGCATGGTGGTAAGCGCAAGCTAATCGAGCTTGCTGGTCCAGGGAGGAAACTTGCTGATCAAAATGTTCTGTACTGTACAGGTTATTCGAGGCAATTCTGTTGTCATGCTTGAGGTTTGTCATCTCTGCACGAATATGCGTCGCAGTCATTATATATATGTCTGTCATATGAAAACTAACCACTTCACACCCAAATATGCAGGCCTTGGAACGGATAAGCGACAAATAATTGCACGCTACACACACGACTTGTCTAAATCCATACCGAATACGAACAGAAAAAAAGAATCGGGTCACAAATTTTGCTTTTCCGGTCGGGATCATCTGGTTTTTATATTTGGGAGTTCATGGGGTCGGTTTCTTTGTGAATGGATGAAAATAAAAGATATTGAACTGTCGAGTACCGGCATGTGTTCTCGAAATAATGCACTAGAGACGAAAAATACGTTTCATTCACAGGGTAAAAATGTTCGATTGCTTCTTTATTTCAACCACTATTATTATGTTGCACCAGGAAGTGCTTATTCGGCCATTCTTTTTTGCCCTTCAAAAGTCCCAATGTAATCGTAATATACAAGTAATCACCGTGCACATGATGACGAGATGCTGCCAGACTTCTTGAATGGACTGGGAATCTGTGAAGCCGCACATAGGAGATCAAACGCCTTCAAATAAATGATTCAAGACAGACAAATCCCTACCAACTCCACCCTTTGCAAACCCCGCTCGTACCGCCTTCCATGGAACGTGGAGGGATGTGAGAAAACAACAATGCAGAAAGAAAATGCCAAATGCAACGAAGAGCAAACGACCACAGCCATTGTCTATTTTGGTGGCTGTTGACCCAATTTCAGCTTGAGTTTTAATCCGCCGCCGGGAGTGGCAGGTGTGGATGTCGACGCTGGCGTTACTGGAGCTGGCGGTGGCATACCGATGTGATTTGGTATGTGTAACTTGGGCAATGATGGCGCACCTGGCTGTGGCGTTGAGGGTGTCGCGCCAGGACCCATCTTGGACTGCTTGAAAGTGATCCTCGGGCCTGGAGGAGGCATGCCTTGTTCCTCGCGCTTGCGTTTCGCGGCAGCTGCACCGTCTTTGGAGGGGACAAGTGAGGTGCGGACACGGTCCGACCTGTAGAAGCGCATTTTTCCCTTCGAAGGGTGTCAGTACGACGGCCCTTAAGATCCAAAAATAAATAAAACGGAGCCGGAGACTTACGTTACCCAGATGTTGCGCTTTCCAATACCGAGGGTATTTCAGCGTGACCATGAGCGAGAAGATTGGGTCATAGAAAACTTTACACAGGTCAACGAAATCAGAAATCTCGAGTGCTCCAATGACAGGAGAATTGCACGCCGCCCAGAGACACTCCTTCAGGACTGGATTACCTGAGAGCTCTTTCTTAAGAGCCTCAATCGCCCCGGGAACTGTCTGTTTGCGAGCCAATTCCGCTCGACGGACTTCTGTCGATGACTCCTGCTCGATGATCAAGCCGTCGCTTGGTGCAGGCGGCGTGGGGGGTTGTTCAACACCAAAAGCCACCGTCGCAAGAGCTATTCCAAACAACCGATGAAGCCTGTGTCGCATCCAGGGCGAGGGATCAGCAGACATAACATAAATGAACCATCTCAGGAGTTCCGGTGAGCTGAAAATGTCTAGTTCCACAAGACATTCGAAAGCTTCCAGTCGCAGCATGTCAAACGTTCCGAATCTTGTATATTGTAAGAAGTGCATCACGTCCAGGTCGATAACCTTGGCTTGCATGAGTCGTAATTGACAGCGTAGCGCTGTTCTCGAGTAGATGTTTTGAAACGAACTGGACCACTCGTCCATTCGCCGGTACCTGTCAATCTCAGCGATGGCATCCTTCTCGAGCTGTTCTTCCGCTTGGCGTTCGAGTTCCTTTTCCATGTCGAATTCAAGATCGTTCGAAGAAGAAGACTCGACACGCCCCAACAAGGCGTTACACAGAGAGTTCATCAGAGAGGCGACGTAAAAGTTATCGGAATACTGCGAACAGTTAAGGATAATTCTCTAGCAGCGAGATCGGAGTACTTACCTCATTGTTTGAATTGTCATTGAACTTGAGCTTCTCATAAATAAACCGCTTAACTCTCAATGGTGTCTTGCCACTGTTGTCTCGCACTTGGGAGATAGCATCAGGGATAACTTTCTGAAGGATATATGACGCTCGGTCAGAGAAGTCATTGGAGCGTGTCATATGCGATCCCGGGAGGCAGAAGAGTTCCTGGAACGCCCTCTCAAGATGATAAAGTCCCAGCCAGCCGATCTCCTCTTTGGCATGTCTGACCAAGGCTCGTGCAGCCATAGTGCGGATCCCATGAAAATATCGCCGATCCATAAGCGTTCGGACCAATATGGACGAAACGAGCGGATGCCCTCTCTGAACAGCCATATATTGCATGGACTGAACTCACTGTTAGAATCTCTCCAAAAATGTGGAATAATGGGACAATTGCACCGACTTACCTCCAACTGCGCAACAACGTCTCGATCTTGCTGCAGTTGTGAGAGATACATGTATCCCGGCATCGCGACAGAGAACTTGCAAATCCATTCGAAATCAGCGTCCATACGAATCCATTCATAGGATTCTTGTCCCATGCGTTCCTCTTCCTCTTTGCTCCAATCCGTTAGCCTCCACTCTTGGATCTCCTCTTCACTCTGCAGCACGTCGCCAAGGCAATAAAGGAGAACATCATCCTGCGTTTCCGCGTTGGGGTCAGCTCCGGCAGCGGCAGCAGCACGCTCCTTCTGCCTCTTATTTCTTTTCAGACGCTTATACTTCGTATTGTACGGAATGTCGATCTTGGTAACTCCTTCTTTGATCTCGACAATATGCTCATACGGAGTGCCATCCGCCTCGTGAATACGGATCGTCATCGATCCTGTAAAAACAGGTTGTATTGCGCCAGCATAGACGCTCCTGATCTCTTCTTTAACGTCGCGCATAAAGGTGGATTTCTCCAAATCTCGAGGTCCCTGCTGCTCTCCCTGCACCTGCTTGATCATGACCTCAACCACCAACTTCTTCTTATTGAAACGTTGCGTGGCTGTGAATCGAGGACATCCGGCACCGTAAACCCATTGCTGGAAAAAGGTATCCAGCTTGGCGTGACCAAATTTCTCGCACATTCGCTGGAAGAACGCAGTGGTAACTGCTCCGTTTGGAAGATCGCCCATCCGTGCATTCAGCAGAATGCGGGAGATGATTCGCGATATGGTCGCTTTTCCACTAGCTTTTGAGAGCCTCCGTTCTAGAATGAAGAGAACAAGAGGAGCTTTCAAAGCAATGAACTCCATCTCAGACGGATCCAATTTAAGATAGTTCCCCATGTCATAAATGGATGGTCTTTCGTAATCCAGGTCGCACACTTTGTCCGACATCTGCTTCAAGCGAAATCGATACTCGTTGTTTCCGCAGAGCTTCTTCATAAACGTATCAGTAATGTAGTATGCTATGCCGACGGTTACCCAAGTGTCCGCAGGCTCCTTCGGGATGATGTTCACACCGACCCATTGGCACGCCAAGGAGTGGACCAAAGTCCTCGTCGACTCATACATGGGATCAATGACATCCTCGGGAAAGAGCAGGTGATTGCTGCATATTGACAAAGACGCCGTAGGAGTGGTTTCACAAGCCGCATCGTCAACGAAACAGAGTTTGAAGGTTGAAAACGGATAGGATCCATAGGTCAAGGAGAAAAAGTCAACCGCCTTTGCCATCGGGAAACAGGCATTTCTGACATCGTCTGCCCTTCCCGGAAGACAAAATGCATGCACTGGAACGGCATTCTGTCCGAGTTGATCGTCTTGATCGCTTTCCCGGAACTCAGAAAGGTTGACGTATTCGAAGGGTCCTACAGCAAAGCCAATCTGCTGCGCAGAGAGCTGCGAATTGCAGGCGAAGGAAACCGTCTTCTTACTCGGATCTCTTGGGTCAACGATCTCATCTGTCATCTCACCAGAGCAAGCAACTACCATGTCCAATGTATCGTCATCTGCAGCTAAGGCAGAGGTTCGCACGCCATTAATCTTGTGCTTGCCTAGAGCATTTGCCTTCGACGCTTCTGACCCTTTCCGATCAAAAACGTCACCTAGCGAGCAAGGGCATTTGATGGAAATTTCCCATGTGCACCTTGAGGACGGATCGTCGACACAGGGAAACAGTGAGCACCCAGCACCCAAGCCGACAGAGTTCGTCGTGTATACATGAGGATAGCGCCTGTCCCCATTTTCCACGCCCACAAAATGTAGTCCCTCTCGGATATTATCGACCGTAAACTCGGCGTAGACGGTCAGCGCAGTGAAGCGAGGAAGAGACGATTCGGCGGTTCGCGAGCTCGGAGCATCCGGGTCATCTGACGTGCCGATCCCTCGCAAGGCCATTTGATCCTGGGCTTCGATAGAGAACGGGTCGAGCTCCTCAATGCGAACGCTTTTCGGGATCGTCACGACCAACTCGGGCTCTGTCTGCGGCTTCAACAGCGGGTCGACCTTCGTCGACAGCCGCTGATGATATTGGACGCCATAGAGGTGAAGGGATCCGTAAGGATCCGTGTATTTTGTTGTCGGAGCTTTCCCGCTGACGTTCAAGCGCTTGAGCTCGCCTTGCCGAAAGTTCAGGCGGATGACCCTGAGATCCTTGTAGTGAGGATGGATGGTAATCTCCGTTTTGCCCTTGAGGCTCTTGCTGGCAAAGTCGATCTCTAGTTCGAGCTTCTGATGAGCGACCGAAAATCCCAGGCCGGGCCAGACAGGGCCGGCCGGCGTTTCGACGACGCCCGGCATTTTGAGAAAGAGCCTCAGTGACGATCGGCGCTATGAGCGCTGCCTGAAGCCCTACACCTTCATGTCCAGCGCGAGCGTTTCAAAGCACGATGATCTAACACCGCGCAGACAGCGTGCCGCAACGCTGAGCGATCGAAAGTGAGGTCGAAATGATGGTCCCGATCAGAACTCGACGACGGGGACAGATGCTGGAGAAGCAAAGAGCTTGTCACAAACGGGACGCGAGTGACGCGACTGCGAGCGGGTCATCAGTTGGAACCCCAGATTCACTTGGCACTGACCATGAGCTGATTTGACAATGATCAATACAAGCGAATCCAGGTGTCGAGACTAGCTGCTGCTCTCACTGACAGACGCCGAGCTTGGCTTGCGGACTTTGGCAGTAGTGTCACGCGGTGCACGGACCGCAGACCGCGGTCAGCGAAGAGCGCCGACACGTGATGGACCCGCTGCCGACCTCGACTCATAGCTGTATTCGGCTTTTACCATTATTACCTCTTACCTAAGGCACCTAATAGCAGCAAAAACCTAGTGATTCTTTGATCATTCCTAACTGACTGCAAAACATTTTGAAACTCATTTTCAAACTGATTAAAATTATTGTGGGAATCGTAGGTTGGTCCAAAGGGGTAGAGCCTGAGGAATTTCTTCCATCAGATCAAACCTGGGTCTCCCATGAAGCGCTATATTATTGCTCATTGCTTACATGTTTCGACAAATTATTCATGATCTTCTATTAAGATGTCACAGGAGGGCAACAGTACACGACTTTCTAGCATCCATGCAAACGTCGACACTCTCTATAAAGGATCCAGATTCAAGGACCAAGCGAACTTGGTGAAAAAACCAGGAAAAGCTCCCTGTTCTTACAGCATGAAGACTTATGTACAGGCAATGACAGTGATCGTTTGTGGCTTCCACCATTCTTCCCCTGTAGAGCCTTGAGGGATCACATAGGTAGTTTGAGGGCTCTAATCTTGCTGTATTAAACGGAAGCAATCTGGAGATGAAAGTTGTCTCGCTAGATCAGCACACATAGCTTGTCACTTTTACCTCAACCCCTTCACTCTGCCTCAATGTGCTGCTGTCACAGAACTGGCACCTTAGGGTGCCACTGGCACCCACCACCCCAGGCTCTTCTTCCATGCTTCCACCTCGATTGGATGTTAGACATTGCACTTGAGCTCCCTTCTTCCCTAGACTTGTCCTACATTGAGGCAGCCCACACCGTCCTTTAGTCTCCCTAAATTGAAAGGCAATGTGAGAACAGCTAATACTAGGAGGAGGAAACCTAGTGACAACCGGCAACCGCAACTAAGTCAATTTCAAACCAAGAACACATCCCAAGCATCCTGTGACGGGCACTGACGGCTTACGGATGGTTGTCTGACGGGATGTTCCATGTGGGCGGTGTGGAGAGCGGGGAGGGAAGCGGAGAGGTTTTGACCGGCAGTATTTTCATTATTTCCTCCTCGCAGGGTCTCGCGCCCACCTTTCTTCCTTCTTCCTTCCCTCCCCAGCTTGGTCTTCTTATACAATACTACCTTTTAGTCTCTTATGAGCAATAAGATTGAGTTGTTCACACATCTATGGTAAGCTCACATACTGTATCAATAATTCATGCGCTGGCAAAATCTGACCAGAAAAGCAATCGTACAGGATCCAGACCTTAGTTCGATTCCCGCAACTCAGTCAAATCATCCAGCATCTGACAGATGCCTCAACGGGCAGCTTGGAACAGGAGAGCGATCTGAAGAATATCACATATGCTTCAGTTATTGACGCATACGGAGGACCCAATAGTGTTACGAATACACTATTGGCTTGCATACCTTCTGACATCAGAGCTTTTTAGAAGACCGGGTGATTAAAGTGAAGTTGTGAGTCTATGGTATCCCTGATCTTCGAACATGACTGATTATATATAGACTAGACAGCTTCAGAATGAAGCAGTCCGAAGATCCAGATCCTTAGCCTCTGAATAGTGGCTACTTGGACTATGTTACTGATGATAGAGACAAATACTATTGGCGACCATATGTTGGCCAATCCAAGAAGCCCTTGCAAAGGATTGCACACCATATTAAATCCATCCGCCAGCTCAACTATGACACCCTACATTACCACATTATCTGGAGAGGTAGGGGTCACCGATCGGCAAACTTTATCAGACTTTGGACCCTTAGATACCCTGATGACATCGATGACTCCATTCCTATCATATTCCATAACATCCTTGAAATAGTCATGACTAGGGCTTTTCAATTGCTTCTACCTGAGATCCCGGTTAAATATTTTGGGCCTCCAGGTAGTGGAGAATCAGCTTACTCAGCTACGGGTCTCAACGTTGTGCCACCACTTCTCCAAGGAGTTTCTTTGGGGCCATGGGTGCGCCGTGTGTTCTCACTGCAACTCAAGAATTCGCCGGACCCGAGGTTCGAAAATGGCCCGAGATTAGGTTGGAGCAACAGGCAAAGTCCTGAAAGCCGCCATTGAACAGACTCGTACCACATATGGGAGAAGGAGATTACCAAGCAGCCTTGCAGGCAGCAGTCAGGGAGAATCTGAGTCTACGGAACATCAAGCCTTTCACAGGTAGCAGTACTTTGCCATCAATCCAGACTTGGGGTCATGCCGCCATCAACTCTTGGCTCCGGATCTGCGCATCGGAAATTGGAAAGGTGGCAGTGTAGCGACTTAATGGTGATACCATTCGCTCTGACGGAAACTTGATAAGGAAACCATGAAGGATCCTCCATCTCAACATAAGATGGGTTGTCCATGCACGTGCTTGACCCGTGACATGGGTTATCCATGTGACTTGGGGATGGATCATCCATACGCTCCGTCGACAAAGGTGCTTTCGACATGGATACCCCGTCGTACCACGACAGTCGGTCTCCAGAATTAAAGCCCCCGATTGGCACGTCTCAAAGCACGCATTGGGATTATGTTAGACCACGGCTTCGTCAGCACGAACTCCAGGGGGAAGTCCTTACTGCTATTGGGGATCCAAGAAAGTGGGTTCAATGAATCCAACGCTCTGATCTGGACCTTTGATCTTCGCAGATACACACTTATTAAGGCATCCTTTCAAATGGTTACTCTCGCCGTTTACTCGCGCTTGGTTGAATTTCTTCACTTTAACATTCAGAGCACTGGGCAGAAATCACATTGCGTCAACACCACTTTCTGGCCAAAAACCTCCAGCTGCTGATGAATTGAGAGTTATCAATAAATATAATTAGGTATAGATAAGGATTTGAAGCTGAGTCTTTAAATATTAGCTATTTGCTTAGAGATATATATTTTAAAGCTAGCTACTAGTTCAGATCCCGAGCTCAGTTTTTGCTTTTCTCTAATATTTCTATAGTGTTCTCTAGGGAATATATACTAGGTAAATGCCTCTAAAAATATGGCCTTTGAATCCTAGAATCTAGGTATGGATAGGCGGATTGTGATTAAAAGTCGTTTTAGTTGGTAGAATATGTCAGTATCTGGCATTTGTGACGGACAGTTCGGAGGTCAATCACATGGGCGGTCTAGGAGGCGGGATGATCTTGCCAGACAGAATGTTTCTTATTTCGCGGAGTCTAGGACCCACCCATCTACTCCTTCCCTTCTTCCTTTCCTCCCCAGCTTGGTTTTCTTGTACGATACTGCCTCATGGCTTCATATTAGCGACGGAGATTGAGTTGCTTACAGCATTCCTGATTATAGAAAGCTACTGGGTCCTTCTATCTTATCCTTTCCTAAGCTGGAGCAAGTCAAGTGCCTAAGTTTTGATGAATACATGTGGAGGTTTTGCTACCTTCTGCCCAAAGACTCAATTATTCATAAGAGTGATTTTTTTTTAGAATAACATAAGCGCGCGATTTAAACAGATCTAGACACTATGCCCGAGTGGTTAAGGGGAGAGATTAGAAATCTCTTGGCTTCGGCCGCACAGGTTCGAATCCTGTTGGTGTCGTTTATTTTTTTTAAATTTTTCTCATGGAGTGATTTGCTCCGCTTTTCACCATCGTAAAGGAACCTAATACTCCGTATGGTCTCTTTTTGAACAAAAAAAATACTGATATGTGTTGATTGGTCAGTTCTGTTTACTCAGCACCCGTCTGTAACTAACTATTTCTTATATAGGTACCTAAGCATACCACAACAAAACTGCCTTTCCTGCCTTAGGTATAGGCTTTACAGTGCCTCCCCTACAGGCTTTGCGTTCGCGCCCCTAGAGGCTTTATATAGGCTTACATTACAGGTGTGCGGAGGGCCGAAGGTCCGGAACAAGTATAGGCATTAGCAGGCCTATGTAGTCTTCCCCCTTCGCTAGACAAGCGAAGCGAGTCGTTAAAGGCTTGTAAAATATATTTACAAAGTCAGTCGCAGCCTGGCGACATCGCTTTTTTTTTCCCGGTCTTGGTTCGACACCAGCGATGACAACATTATCATGCAGTCAGTAGATACAATTAATTACAGCGAGTCATAACCAAAATACTAGATCTAGTAGTAATTTTTCTTCTCATCCTCCACCGTCTTTTTTTCCCCCACTGTCTGGCGGCATTCTTCATATTAATATTATACTCGTCTTTGGGAAGTCATCGATCGATGCAAAGGGACCAACCATTCTCACGCCGTGTCTGAGAAGCACGCCTGATGCCTCAGGATGGACGTGTGAACGCCAGTGGCCATAAAAAGGATGATGTAAAATGGCGTTTTATGGCTTGCTTCTTTTCTTATGTTCTCCCTTCTTCATCTTCATTTTTCTTCTTTGTTGTGCCTGCACTTCCATCTCCCTTCTAGATATCATACAGTTAGTCCATCGCTTCGTGGGTATCGTAGGGAAATACAAATATAGATATATCCAAAATTTAGGTTCATGCGTTGATGGTGTGTCTTTGGAAGGATACCCAGCCCTCATTAAAAAACGTAACCGATCATCCGCTAGGCGGGTGGATAGAGAGAAGCCAGAAGCCGGTTTGCCTGCTGGGATTCCTGACTAGTGGTGCTTGAAACCTCCTTTGCCAGAAATACCGTCCACCCGGATAGAGGGCCCGTTTCCAAAGTTGCGGTAGGCCTTTTCCCTTGCCGTTGCCTTGTCTTCTTTGATGGTCAGGCAGTTGATTCCCAAGTAGGTCGTGATCCGGTTGATGACAAGCAGGGCCCAGTGCATGTACGCGACAAAGGCAAACACAAGATAGCCACGTAGGTACCACAGCTCCACGGTGGCACTGACCATAGGTAGTCCGAAGCGCGGCAGATTCCCGAGAATGGCTCCGCCAACCAGCGGAGTGAGCAGGACCGTCCAGTATGGGAATGGCTGCTTGAGCAAATGGGCCAAAATGATCTTAGTTGTCATACGGCCAAAGACAAAGGACATCGTCACGCAAAACAGAACAAGCCTGTTCTCGCTCAGGAGCGTGGAATACGGGGAGAAAAGCCACGCGAGCACCGAGACCGTGAAGACGACAATAGGCGTCCACTCCAAGAACACGGGCAAAATGGGGAGGTTCTGTCGCTTCCGAGCGACTACGACATTATAGACACACGCCGGCAGATGTGCAGTCAGAAACGAGAAAAGAACCATGGCGACCCAAAAATCGAGGAAGATACGGTCCCCAAAAAGCTCCGGATGGCCCAAGTAATCCGCAACGCGGTTTTTCCAGATATGAGGCCCATAGTATCCGGATGCAATCATCACCGCAATGGCAATGAGAAGACCTTCCGTGGGACCATTGAAATACCCCAGATATAGCGTGTGGGTGTGGTATGTCTCCCATGTGGAAAAGAACATGGGCAGGCAAGGGATGAGAGCCGTGAAGGCCCCCAGCTTGGTGGCGCCTAGTCCCATGGCAGCTGTCTCGAGCAAGCTTGCGAGTGTACAATTCAAAGAATCAATTCCATGACTATGTGCGGTCAGCAGCTGCCACCGGAATTAGGAAACTCTCGGGCTTCTACTGACTCAAAAAGCTCGCCCAGGCCACTGGAGGTTCCGGTCCGCCTAGCTTGTTTCCCATCAACGTTATCAAATGTGGAGTACCTATGGTTCCGGAGCAATCAGTTACGGGACGAAGGCATAGTCTTTGATACACTTGTTTTGCTGGTTTGGGCTGGGCCAGAGGTAGTGGGCTGACATACATCCATACGCCAAAAGCGAAGTTATAGTAGAGCCAGGATGGACCCTAGGTGGAAGAGATTGCTTAGTTCGGACGTGTTTGGGCCTTCAGGATCGAGGAGTCCATACCGGTCCTACGAGATCGGGCATAAAGATTTCAACCAAAACCACATTTACCACGATGAAAAAGAAGCCCAACAGGGTGACCATATTAGGAGCCAGCCATAATGGCAGAAGCTCAACGACTGCGTTCCACTATATTAAAATGGCCCGCCGAGTCAGCTGCTGCACTGGGCCATTCCATTGGTATTAGGTTGATGACAATACGTAATGCTTTAGGATATATCTAGAAATAAAGGACTTGTCCACGCTGGAGTATTTATAGGATTTGAGATGAACGAGAGCGTCGTCTGAAAGTGAATCCTGTGTTGCTGCAATACCAGAAAAGGCAAGCGATTAGCCACTACAGTCGAAAACAGACAAAACACGGGAGGCTTGACTCACCTTTCACCATATTGATCACTGCAGTCATCCTTCTCACTTCTTCTCAAAAAGAGATCTGGGGGCGAAAAAAAAGGGGCTGTCTATTCTCTTTCTCTTTTCAGTTCATTCCGTCCGTAAGACTCGAAAATATAGTAGGAAACGACGAATTAGAAAGCTGAAAGGCTCAGGATGCCGAAGTTCAAATTTCAGGTATGCGCTGAGACAAAGCCCGGTCTAGAGAGTGCTGCAGAAAAGACCGTGAGACGGAGATACACAATTTCAGGGGAAAGTAGGGGGGAAGAGAGCAGTTCAGCATTCGGTAGATCGGTAGATCGGTGAGCGGAGCAAATGGGGAAGCGGGACCTGCGAGGCATCGGATAATTGTTATCCCGGAATTCTGGGACAAAAGATTAACTACACCTCTAAAGATCATAATAATTACTATCTACAGTCTGGAAGAAAATATAGAAATAACCTTCAAGTAAAAGGGGAAAAAAAATATACTGCTTTTTAGCAGGTAAAAAAAGCTACTCGAGGTCTCTTTAAAACGACACCAACAGGATTCGAACCTGTGCGGCCGAAGCCAAGAGATTTCTAATCTCTCCCCTTAACCACTCGGGCATAGTGTCTAAACTTATTAACTGGGACAGCTCATTTTTTTCTACATGCCTGCGGACTTGCTCCCTTTTTCTAGCTTAAAGGGGAAAGACTACTTAGTAGTGCCTATAAATGCTCCGGACCTTCGGCCCTCCGTTTCCCTGTAATGCAAGCCTATTTAAAGCCTCTAGGAGTGCCAGCATAAGCCTATAGGGGTTCCAATAATATATTGCTTCGCGCTACGCGCTCCGCAAATGAAGTCTGTCAGCTGGCCTGAAACCACGAAGAAGATAGAAGATGAGGACAGGAGAATACAAATTAATGTTTCTTCTTTTCTTTTCCAGTAAACTTTTCGTAACTTAATAGTCTCCATAGAGTTGTTGTTTAATGAAAACAGTAGCATGATAGACTTCAGAGCAAGCAAAGCAGACTGGATTTGGACTGGAGAGTAGAAGGAGTATTTGTCTGGCTTTGTCTCAGCAGGGGTCTGTCTGCCCAGCAGGTCCTATCCTGCCATATTATGTGATAACATATGCAATACACATGCACGCTGGCTGGAAAAAGTGATTCTTTAACCTGATCTCAGATTATTACTCCGTACTGGGAGGTCAGATTAGCCTGCCTATAAGTCGGCGAAAGTGAGGGTTTGACTATCTGTGCTCAAAAAAAGGGGGGTCAGGTCAGGTTTATAAGGGCCGGCGAAAGGGATTTGGTTGTCACTGGCAGATATCTGCAGGTCAGATCAGATTACATATGGGCCAGTTAAAATGAGGGATTGGACCAGCATTGGATCTCATTCATTGTTCTTTCTGGCAAGCCAGACCTGACCAGACTAATCATATAACAAAGGGCTGTATACAGTTAAAGTGCCTAACCTAGTATCCCATCTCCCAGAAACGCCATTCCCAAAATCGATGATATCAACACAGGAGCACGAGACAAAAGCAGTGGAAGGAGGGGGGGGGGGGGGAAGAAAGCTCGAGTAAAAATGAAAAGCGGAAAAAAGAGGAACGATGACAGTAGTGGTCAAATAAGACCAGGACCACCATACATATTGTACTGTACAACATATATGAAATGGAATCCCAGATATGCTTAATCCGACACATCATCGTCTGGCAATACGTCGATGGCATTTTGCAGAAGTTGGATGAGCTCATCAATGTCAGGTCGGTCCGCAGGTTCGACTTGGAGGCACTTCCTGACAATCTCCTTAACCGGCTCACTAATCCCCCCTTCGGTGCTGTCCTGGGATGCAGCTGCACCTCCTTGCGCACCGGCTTTACCCTTGCCCTTTGCGGCACCAGTCTTCTCATCAGGAAATCTCCAGTCTCCGCCGAGAACGCACATACTCAAACTACCCCCCGTCTCCTCACTTCGCGCCTCGAATGGGCTTTTTCCCACGAGACATGCATACAAGGTGCAGCCCAGCGACCAGATGTCCACCTTTGTGTCGATGATGGACCCGGTCTTGACATCAAACAGCTCTGGCGCACGATAAGGCATCGTGCTGTGCTCTGCGGCAGTATCCTGGACGGCTATTGCCAGAGATCGTGATGTTATTGCTATGGGACTTGGGGCCAAGGACCCCAGATCCATCAGAATGGGTGTTCGACCGTCGTCAGCGATCATGATGTTGCCTGATCCTCGATGCATCAGCTAAGAGTCCATTTCTTAGGCTAAGAAGTCAACATACCGGGCTTGATGTCTCGATGGGCGTAGGGCCGCAGTTCTCCTTCGGCAACGCCTTCCTGGCTCCTGGTCACCTCATCCTCCATCAACGGCTCTTGTTCCACATCATCATCCATCTGACGGGTAGAGCGTCGCTTGGGCTTTCCCCTTGGCATTGATATCTCCGCATCTGCTTCTTCGCCCTCCCTTCTGACTGCCTTTGCTTGGCGGGTGGACGCTGCGCCGCTCTTGACCCGGTATTGATGCATAGCCTTGAGTGCCTTTGCGACTCCCAGCATCAGAGTTATCAATTTCTTCTCGGGGAACTTCGTGTGGTTGACAAGATTGGCATTGATCGCATCTTGAAGGTTCCCGCGCTGATAATAGGGAAGAAGGATGTAGACAGTCTTCGAACTCGCCTCATCACCATCTGGACGGAACTTCGAACCCGACTCCGTCGTCACGCAGTGATCAATAGCACGTATGATATTAGGATGGGGTGCGAAGAGCTTGTACGCTTCGACTTCCTTGAGCGCTTGAGCGACTGATTCTTGGCCGAAGGGACACCGTATCTTCTTCAGGGCGAACAATTCCGACGTCGCCTTGTCTTGCACAAGATAAACGTAGGAAAAACCGCCCTAGTCATCGCAGGGTTAGATAAATTTCCCGTTTGTTAACAGCCCGCCCAGAACATACCTCGCCCAGGAGCCGGAGAAGCTTGAAGCTGCGGTTGTTGATTTTCAGCTGCGGAGAATTCGGAAAGCAGCACATGCAATCCGTGAAATTGTAGAGGAGGTCAAAGAAATACTGGGCCATTTCTGCCGCGGAAACGACACCTCAGTCGTCATCAATCGAATGCAGAATACGTAGTAATCCGGGGTTCAAGTGGGTGACGTTGCACATGCAACGGAGCCTGGAGCTAATAGCACTGCGGGCGGAGATATAATTTCAGTGAAGAACACGCGCCCTTGCCTTTCAAACGAATTGATCGAGAGATAGAAACCCAACAATGGCTCGCAGCAGCTGGGTGTTGATTGATACCTGTCCTGACGACTGCGGACGTGGCTGAGGCTGGCGCTGTCAGCTGTCGGCTGGGCCAGCGGTCGGGGGTTTCCCATTCGCTTTGCCCAAGAAAAGATCCTCCACACTCGCCGGCCGCAGCAAACTGCTCGCCCATGGTTCTTGCAGCGCCGGCGCAGAGGCTGTTTCTCCAGATCAGCTGGATATCAGCATACTCCTGCTCTGTCATTGGATGCACTCGTTGGTTCTTGTTTACTGCCAATAGGACGTGTCTAGCTATATCCTGCAGACCCCTTTTCGGCCACATCTGCATTCTGCTGCAGCACCGCCTTTCAACTGGGCACCACAGCTGCTGTAAACAACACAGCAGGGCATCTCTTCCAGGCCTAATCAGTCCTCTTTATGTAAGGCTCCTGGGGGTGGCCAATCTCCACGCAGCGAGGACGACAGTGAGTCAGGCCTCTCAGAATCTACTCGAACCATGCGCCGATGATCCATCCCGTCAACCCCCGCTCTCCGATCTGGCGTGCTCCTAACCTTGATTTTTCCTTTTCCTCCCTCCTGTAAACAGAACAGGTGCTCACCGGCTCCAGATTAACCTGGATCTTCTTCATTTTGATCTCCTGGTACGATCAGGGTGCAGTCGAACTTAAGAGTCGATCGGTTTATTTCGTGACAACATGGCCCCCATCGATGATATCCGGGTCGGAGACCTGGTGAACGTCCCCGGGGGCATGTATGGGACTGTCCGATATCTGGGACCCGTCGATGGCAAGCCCGGTCGCTTTGCTGGTATCGAACTGGCTCCGGAGCATGCTAGCAGAGGCAAGAATAATGGTGATGTCGACGGACGAAGCTACTTCACCACCTCCATCCCCGGTGCTGGCATCTTTGTCCCCATGAACAACAACAAGTATGTGACGAAGCGGACAGTCGTCACTCCTCCTACCCCGTCTCGCCCTTCCGTGACAAACTTCAGCAAGTCCGTTGGCCCGTCAGTTGCCCCTCCTTCAGTCCCCAAGCCACGCATTCGGCGGCCATCGTTGCCCCGACCAGAATCGCCCCGTTCGGCGCCAGCGTCCAAACCGAACTTCACTGGATTACGAACACCCTCGTCGGCCATCAAAGCACCTTCAACCGCACCAAGCGCCACTGGGGCCCCTCGAACCCCCTTCAAGACGCCGTCTCGACTGTCCGACCGGCCCCCGTCGAGGGTGAGCGTGGAGTCTGAAACTCCGGTCTCAGGGAGGGCTCATGACCAGCAAGCGTTTGGTGGTGCGGAGGTTCAAGAACTACGAGAGAAGGTCCGAATGCTGGAACAGGAGCTTCGGGACCGAGATAAACAGCTGGAGGAGCAAGCCGTTACCCTTAACGAGTTACAGCAAAGTATTACGGAACTGGAGGGAACGGATGCCGTCGCTATGCGGGCTCAATTACGGGAGAAGAATGAGAAGATCGCGCAGCTGACAGCGGAGTTTGACGCCCACCGCGCCGACTTCCGCAGCACGCTGGATACCCTGGAGGTGGCCGCATCCGAGACGGAACGCGTTTACGAACAGAGATTGGATGAACTCATGCAACAGAACAGGGAGCTTCAGGATCGCGGAGAGGACGTGGAGACGGTCGCTAGGCAGCTGAAGCAACTTGAAGAACTAGTCTCGGAGCTGGAAGAGGGTCTCGAGGATGCACGACGCGGCGAGGCGGAAGCAAGGGGCGAGGTGGAATTCTTGCGAGGAGAGGTAGAACGAGCCCGGCTGGAGCTGAAGCAGGAGCGTGAAAAGAATGCAGCAGCTCTGAAGGAAGCGGAGACTCGCCGGAATACCAAAGAGCTGGATCAGAAAGATGACGAGATCAGGGGTCTCAAGGCCATTATCCACTCTCTCAGTCGCGGTGACGTGAATCCGGCTTTAATGCGCCAGAATGGGATATCTCCGCCAGCTGGCAAACCGGAGCCGGATCCCAAGGATGCAGAACGGCTCACACAGCTGGAACAGCGTATTCAGGAACTCGAAGGGCTGGTCGACAGCAAAAACCAGCGCATCGAGGAGTTGCAACGGGAATTGGAGAGTCAGAAGCGGAGTTCGTTAAACGGTGCTGGACGAGTTCGCAGTGGTACTGTCACCGTCGCTCCGTTGAGGCAGTTCAAGGCTTCAAGAGACAGAAATAGTGGGTCGAACCACACTGTCAGCCACGCCCACACTCCCTCTGACCGCACCGTGGTTCCCGGTGATTGGCAAGACGCGCCTACTGGCGCTGAGCAACATCAACCACTGTCATCATATCAGGAGTCTCTTCCTCATCGCCCTGCCAATAACGGTCCGGATTCCGATAACCGCTCGGATGCCAGTACTGCCCTGTGGTGTGAGATCTGCGAGACCAACGGCCACGATATTCTGACCTGCACCACATTCGGAAGCAACGGGCACGGCAACACCAATGCCACGAGCACCGCAGGTCGTGATAACGTCGAGACCCCAGCCCCTGGCGCATCTAGACCGTCCGACCCTCCACAGGAACGTAACTCCAATGGAGTGAAACAATTCGGAGGAGGAAGCCCCACTTCGCAGAGAACAGGCCGAGACGCCGTTCTCGAAGGCTTGAAGGGAATCGGCGGCCTGACCTCGTCCATGTCTCCTGTTGCGGGGAAATCCTCGGGAATCATCGATGAGAGCAAGTGGTGTGCGCTTTGTGAGCGTGATGGTCATGAAAGCATCGACTGTCCCTTTGAAGAATGATTCGATAGCACTTGGGAAGAGAATGCCTACTCCAGGTATTGTTAACTATTCTTAACTCGTGGCATCGGCAATTAGATGAGTATAGGCCATTCGCAATTCACCTCTGCTGGCGGTTCACTTTTTTTCGATGTACCAATATTGATTAATACAGCTTACACCATTATGCTGGCAGTCGTGTTATGAGATTCTAAAATTTTAACTTCTTTTGTCACCTTCTGTCTCTTCGTCCCTTTTTTTTATTTGTTTCTCTGTTCTTTTTTGGCCTTTCTTGCGCTCGAGTGCTGCGATTTATCGCATTCACCGATTCAGTTTTTTTGAACGCTGTGTCCAGCTCATCTTGCCTTCTTGGTTTTGTATCCTTTTCACCCCTTCGATTTTTGTTTATGCTACATTCGAAGTCTCTTTTTTGGTTCAAGAGTGGCCGCCAAGTGAACATGGTGAGATGATTTGCATTACTGGAGCATTTATGCCCGCTGCGAAGATTTATATTAGGTATATAATTCATTCGTACACATTCGTTACTTGTGGCTACCCTCTGCGGAAGCAGAATATCAAAACTTGAAGATGTCACTGATACCCATTTCTTTTCTACTATTATTCGGGGAACCTCGGCGGCTGTATCACTTCGCCTTCGGCATACTTTGTCGATGCGATCGTGCCGCACTTGGAGCACTTTCTCTTCGCCTCGTCGGCGCCAAATTCCTCCACGACCTCCTTCACTTGCGTGCCCAAATCGGTGCAGATGAACTGTTTCTCCCACACGATCTCCCCGCATTGCCGGCAGTACCATCTCATGGTATCTACTTCGCCCTCCTTCCTGGGTACCTCCAGTACAACACCAATAGTATCCTTGAACCGGACTGGGCAGTGCGGAGTGTTGGCAGGGAGCAGGAATAGGGAACCCTCATGGATAGGGATGTCTTGAAAGGTAGGTGGAGTAGTGGAAGTGTCGACGGTCTTCAGGAGCATGGATCCACGGTACTGGTAGAAGAATTCGGGTGTTGAATTGATATGATAGTCAGTTCGAGCGTTGGGGCCTCCCACTATCATCACCGTGTAACCTGCGGTGGCAGGCGACGAAGGGTGGTAGACGCAGTAATTATTGACAGGAGGTTGGAGAAGATGCGAATTGGCTTCGAGCCTAATTTTAGGTCACTTAATTAGCTTTGATATTCCCAAGATAAAGGCTTGCGACCTTCTGCGAAGATAAATTCTACTAAGAAAAAAAAGATGCGGGGGATGAGGGGTAAAAGATTTCTACCATTTTGGTATATTTAAAGCTGGAGGCAGCATTCTGATACACGTGTCAAATCAGCTACTCTCAGTATCGTGTTTCACAGGTTCTCAATGTCAATTCTTTGGACCCAGTGAGGGAGGGATGCGATATAAATGTTGATTTGAAATGCAGTAGTTAGTCATAGTCGATTCTTAGATGCCGGATCCAGAAATACTCGCGGATGGCTCGGCCGGCGGAGATAAGGGAGTTTACTGATAAGGGCTCACGTGATCATCGCGATCCGTCACGGACAAACTTTCCTTTTAGGAATTTTTTGAACGGTCAGAAGTTTCCATTTTCCTGAGACAACGCTGCACTCGCCAAGGGAAAACATTGTCAAATGACCTCTTGACGCCGTCGCATTCAAGACTGAAGGGCGTCAAGGACCAGGAAATCGGGGGAAGATGGCGACTTCTCAGCCTCCCATCCGCTTCACGACGCAAAAGAATTTCACTTATCGCCTTGTGCTCGCGACACTGACCGGGCGCCCGGTACATATCTCGCAGATCCGACCTTCCTCGCCGTCGAACCCCGGTCTTGCACCTCATGAAGTCTCTTTCTTGCGTCTTCTCGAAGCTGTCACCAATGGCTCTCAAATGGAGATCTCGTACACTGGTACAATTCTCGTGTACAAGCCGGGCTTGATCACAGGAAGCGCTGCGGGCCTCGGTGCGAGAGGTGGGGTAATCAAACATGAGATCCCAGGAAACTGCACTCGCGGAGTGAGCTACTTCTTGCTGCCGCTTTGCCTCTTGGCTCCGTTCTCGAAAGCTCCTGTGAATGTCCTCTTCACGGGGCCTGGCGTGATTACGTCGGCGACGCCAACCGGAGACATGTCAGTGGACAGCGTCCGGACCGCTATCCTCCCTCTTTACAACCAATTCGGTATTTTTAATAACATAGAGCTTCGTATTCTACGGAGATCGAATCCCGGCCCGAATGGAAAAGGCGGTGGAGGCGAGGTTCAACTGGTGTTTGGACACCAGGTCCGTCTCCCTAAGACTTTGCACTTGCTGAACCCGGGACGGATTAAGAGAATCCGTGGTGTCGCTTACTCGACTGGTGTGTCCGGATCCAACAACGCTCGGATGATTGATACGGCCAGAGGAATACTCAATCCCCTGGTTCCAGACACCTATGTGTTTTCTGATGTGTCTTCCGCTCCACTTATCCCCGCTCCCGAAAAGAACAACCCTGCAGCGAAGAAGAAGATTGGCGTTGGATTTGGCTTGTCTCTCGTGGCCGAGTCCTCCACTGGTTGTTTGTTTTCTGCTGATGTGGCCTCGCCACCCTCAGGTGGCGTGCCGCCTGAGGACATTGGGAAACGATGTGCCTACCAACTGCTCGAGACCATATCAAAAGGGGGCTGTGTGGCTCCGGCAGCAGCTCCGACGATGCTTACGCTCATGGCCATGGGCTCGGAAGATGTTGGCCGACTCCAGGTCGGCAGGGAGGTCATTGCAGACGAAGGTCTCATCCAACTGGCCAGAGATCTGACCAAGTTTGGTGCACCCGGCTGGGGTATAAGAGATGCAGCAGGGGAGAACGTTGATGGGGATGTCATAGTCAGCGTCGTCGGAAGAGGCATAGGCAATGTCGGAAGGAAGGTTGCATGAAGAGGGAAAGTCTTCACGGCACGAATTTAGTCTCGGTATCTACTCGACATCCAGTTGGTCATTCACCGTTGTCGCAAGCTGCTACGGTGAATCGTTGCCAGTTCTCAGTTGGCTTCACTCCTGATTCTCATCAGTTGCGCGACAGTGATCAGCGAGTGCATGCCGCACGCCTGACCAGCGGCTCGCAGGGCCAGTCTGCTCTCGTGTATCCATGTAAAGGATCCAATGAGCGTTCTGATACCATCTGCTATGCTCAACGCAGCGTGACTCTTCGAGTCTCAGCCCGCAACATTCAGTTACATGCTTGAGCTGGGTTTCTGCCTGCGGCTCGAACGAATAGATACCACCTCGAGCGAAGCCCGTCTCACAAATGGTTACTTCACAGCAATGTTGTCTACTTGGGTTGCATGCAGGAAAGAATACGGTATTCAACCGATGGATATATTTTATACCCGGTTTTCTATGTACTCTAGAAGTCCAGCTATATACGAAAGCAATCTTGTACAGTTACGTAGAGTGGAAAGACAACGGATTATAACCCTAATCTTTTGTCGTTACCGTAACCCTCATGACTGGTATATAATCTCCTAACGTTCGTATTTGCCAATCCATCTGCGTCACGCAGTTGGAGAAATATACAAGGTCCAGTGTAAGGTTTGGCGTCGTATTGGGGCCATATACAAAGAGCCACTCTGTCACATCAGACTCGGGCTGAAATTGATCGGCATGGACTCTTCTTATACAGGAGTGAAGAAGCTATAACAGCGACTCAATATCGCGTGTCCTAAGTGAACAATTCGATCCTACACCACGAAGGTATCTATATATCTGAAAGTGAAAAAGATATATCTACGTTCGTAGTCACGGAGACTGGAAGCAACAGTAATAAATATTAACTAAGCTCAAACAGTGATTCTATCCGCGACTTAGGTCAGCATAAGTCACTGTGATGCCATCAAGTCTATCTAGCTTGAACTGTTGGCAAAGTTTGGATTGTGAAAGAAGCAAGGCTATAAAAAGTACGGCACAAGATCCTTGTTTTCTCCAAGGGCAAAAGGACAAGGCCGTTGTTTCTTTCTTATATGGATAACAGCTTGACGGACGAAACCGTCTTGTTCTCAGCACACGCGTGGTCGAAACAAAGGACATTAGGCCACACTCGACAACAGTAACAACACAAAAACGCGATATCTTTGTTTTGATTCTAGTGAAATCAAAACGTCTTTGTTTTTGTTTACTTGTTTACTTTTTTTTTGTTCGCGTCTTAACTGCTGATTCTCTGTCACTGCGAGATCACCCTCTGGCCTCACGCCCCCAGGCAGGGTATATAAAGGCCCTCCTCCCCTCGCCATCCTCTTTCTCTTTCTCTCTCTAACTCCTCCACTCCAAACAGATGACTCCTACAACTAAGTCATCATACTCGCAATATTATGATTGCATATGATATTGCACTTTCCATGGTGGTGAGTCTTTCCCTCCCTAACATCTAACTTGAGTCTCAGTACTTCAGTAGGACATGGTCTCGATTATATATATATTTTATATTATAGACACATACTAACACACAGGAAACGTGTTTGAGTGGTCGACTCGCGTGATTGAGGCCGGACGCGTCACATGTAAGTATTTCTTCCAACGTGCTTCTTCCCCTATCCTCAATTCTTTCAATAACTTAGTTGTTCGTGGTAGTCGTCGTCGTTAAGCTGATCTTGATCTTGACTCAACATCCGCAACTTTTGTTTACGCCTCTCAATAAACGGTATGACAGTCCCATACCCCTTTCTTATCTCAATGAACCTTTGTGATACTTCTAACTGCTGCAGTGACCATGCCCATTGCCGCACATTCGACATTGCCGACTCCCTCCTCCTCCTCCTCCTCCCTCTTCGTCCCCGATGTCTCACCGCTTGGCAAGCCCAGTAAAGTGACAGAGCTTGTAAGTATCCCCCGACCTCTCAACTCCACGTGATACTAACCATGCTTCAGGCTGGATAAATACATGCCGGACGCACCGAGACTCGGGGGAAAGGAAACCAAGCAACTGAGGCTGGAGCTAAAAGCTCGCCTATTCATTCCACTTACAAAAAAATTCCACTTACAAAAAAAACAATGCTTGAGTTTCGCTCTGCTGCATCCGACGGAAACACGGGCCCAGTAGGTTGACAGGGGCCTGTAAGTATACTTCCTAACCTACATATCATTGTCCTAACGCTGACAACTTTGACCTCTTTTCAGGCTGGATAAAAACAAATCCGGACAGCAGAGAAAAGAATGGCCGCACCTGTGTAAGACAAGCCCAGTAGGTTGACAGGACCTGTAAGTTTCTCCTCACCTGCTTTATATGGAAAGAAATGTCTAAGGCTAATGAAACTTTCCAGGCTGGATAAAAACAAAGCTCTGCACAAATACGGTTGGTCAGACGCCATGGACAAGCGCAGTGAGTTGACCGGACTTGTAAGTATACCCAACTTGACACATCGTTATTTGTCAGAGAGGTTAACAAACTTCCTTCCCAGGCTGCATAAAAACACTGTCTGCACGGACCGATGAAGATCAAGGCCATTATACGAAGAGAAGAGCGCAGTCTGCACCTTTTTGCACATCCACTTTGTGTTTGTGCCCTGGCACATCCCACCCACTTTCGTGCCGCTGTACTGTCATTTTAAAAGTGTGCTTGACTCGCGGCCTCCTCCATTGCCATCATTGCCATGGCACCGATCCATCGATACGAGACTAGGATCACCCGAACCGAACCCGCACACACCTACCGTTCTACGAAGATGTGATTCTCCTGAGGTGGAAGGTATTAGTTTAGATTAGATAGCTTGATGTCTCAGTCAGGGTTTTTACCTCTAGTCGAGGACGTTTCTCCTGATTCTGCGGTTTCCGTCTGCAGTCCGAATGGGAGGCATATATATAATACAAGAAGTTTTTACACGAGAAATAGGTCCTCCAGCTGGTAGCTTAAGAAGTGGTAGTTTGTTGATTCGTAGCTCGATGTACTTTAAGATTTGGATCTTCCGCTGTAGACGGTGCTGTGTATAATACGCATTCCTTGATAAATGCAAAGTCGAGTGCTAACTGAACCATATAAATCGGGGATATAAGACATTCGAGGAGTTGACGCAGAGGTAGTTGGGAATGGAGAGGTGTTTCGCGCGAAGCTAGATATACAACGCTACGACCACAAATGCAAAGTGAAAAAACAAATCCCAGACCAGATGCAGACCTCATTAGTAAAATATCAAAATATGCGGCTCACTCCATCAGTTTGTCTGGAGGGTAGGGCTTAGGGCTCCATGGCGGTCACGCCTCCATCCTTCACATCGCCCAAGTTCAGATCTTCCCTTTCATTACCATCACTGCCACTATCTCCATCGCCATCTTCATCGCTCTGAATCGTCGTCATGGCGCCTTCTCTAACGACACTTCCGCGAGAGCTCCTATGGGAGGTGCTCGACCACCTTGACTCCCTGCTGGAGCTCCACTCACTCCTACTCACATGCAAATACCTCTATCAGTCTTGCGACGGCGCACCAAGGAAAATCGTCTCTGCGATTGTCTCTCGTTCTGATCAACTTGAACTCCCTCAGCTGGAGCCGTATCCTCATTTGCTTCTCGCCGCGTCGGCACGCCGTCTCGCCGATTGGGCGATCCAGAACGATAAACGAAGGAAGCAGCTCAAGCTTGCTTTGCATGGAGGCATCTGGTCCCTTTTCGAGCTGGCTATGGAGAAGGTGCCCATCGGACTTGACGAAATTCGTGAGATATGGCGATGGAAAGAGGATGTCTTGGAGCCGATTACTCGTGACCTTGACGAGTGCTGCGGACCAGAGGCTCAGAAGCAATTGTTGGACGACTCGCCCATCTGCGACACTCCCCAGCTGAGTCTGCTGTTGTGGGTGATCTATGGGGAACTGTTTCATCACACTTTCTCCTTCGTCTGTGACAATCATCAGCACTTGTACCATGATGCTCCTCCTCCTCTTGAGCCGTTGGACTGCTTCACGCGTTTCAAGTTTCTTGTATACTGTGTACCGGACTTTGAGTGCTTCGAGCAGCTAGGAATTGAACACCAGAATTTACACCCCCGGGTCCAACGGTACATGAACGACCCAGCGAGTACAATCCGCCAACAGGGGAGCATGGAGGTGGCATGTGAGAATTATCTTCACCCGGACCAGTGGGCCGACGCTCTTGGATTGGGAGTAACTATATGCGCGGATCCAAGAGATCTGTTCCGGTATTCCGAAAACATCGAAGAACTGCTGTATATCTCGACGGTGATGCACTGGGGCAAACGGAGTTTGGAGGTCCTGCTACCAAGCCGAGCAGCAAAATACGCCGCCGAGCTTGAACACCTCCGGTCCAAGATCGAGGATGTGGTCACCTGCGACGCGACTTTTCTGAGGAAGTTCCCTCGTCTTCCTCGCGACATCCTCGAATGGACCAAAGACACGCGCGACCAGCTCAACATTTCACCATGGGTCCTGCTCGCCGGAGACCTTCGCCTGACGTTGCAGGGATGGTTTGCAAGCGACGAGGAGTGGCTGCGCTATTTGCAGAAGATGGGGACGGCGGGGGTAGAGAACTTTGATGATCTGTCAGAGGGGAAGGAATTCAATCGGCTTGTAGCGGAGATACGGACGCCTCCTGAAGATGACGAGGACGAAGAAGCATAGCGGAGATCTAGGAGAACGATAAGCGGAAAGTGCCAGAGAAGGAGTGAAGAAGTATCCGAGAGGAGGTCGTTACGAAATTGCTCGCGTTTAGGAATGGTTGATGGCATGTCCACACATGGCAATACTTCTATCAATCATTTCCTTCCTCTTTTCCTTTTCCATCTTTCTTCCATCATCGTAGCTGTCTGGTGACAGCATTATCAAGAACGAGAAATAAGATCTAGAAATAGACGATCTGCCCTGGTGATAAGGAAACCAATGTGCCAGCAATTCAAGATAACGACGTAGATGGATGGATGGCATAGCATAGCATAGCATAGCATGATGATAATGATATAGCACAGAATACTAGCACTCTTTCGTCTTATTACGTATTTCTCTCTCTAATGCTCTTCATTTTTTTTTTAATAAAAATGACGAAGATGAAAAGATGAGAGATCAAATAAAATAAAGTCAAGATCTTCTTCAGCAAGAAAGAAGGTTTACTTCTTCACCATCGCCTTCATTATAATAATACATTATTCAATCATGATTATCATTACAATCTCTTCATACCAATCGCTAATACATTACAACTTAAGATAAGTGAATGTACATGTACATACATACATGTACTACATGTACTGTATACATAACAATAACGACTTCTCTCAAATGGAAGGACAATATAAGTAAGAGGAGTAGTGAGCGTCCTGGAAAGACTAAGTGTCAAAAAGAAAACAAAAAAAAGTAAAGTAAAAAAAAGAGGCCCTTTGACCGATCCAATCGATCAGATCAGCATACGGTAGGTAGGATAGGAAGATGTACACAATATGTGGTCTGTAGTCTGTAGTCTATCTGTCTCCTACCATTTCATTTCAAAATGTGCCTATTGTACCTACCTGTCTAGGGTCTAGGGCTGTGAGAGCCTACATACCATGGTATGTATGGTATATTGAGGGCATGTCCAATATTAGCAATCTTGGCTGCTAACCGACCTAACTAACATCTCTATGATTGCACAGAAAAAAAAGTTAAAACTGAAAAGTGAAAAAAAGGAAAATGAGCAAGCTCCATACTGATTGAATTCTCGAGAGACATGGAAAAAATCTGGGTCAGCTAGTCTATCTATATATCTATATGCGTATATATCTATATGAGATTTGATCTAAGTTTTAATTAAGCTCATGGATGATGACGATGATTATAATGAGGTTGGTTGGGGAAAGGCCTACTATGCCAGATCAGATCAGATCCATACCTACATAGATCTAGGGACAGTTCCTAGAGCTAGCGCTAGAGCTAGAACCATGGGTAACTCTCAGACAGCAAATGATCTATCTAGATATCTATGCTCAGCTTACCAGGCCCCTTTCCTGTATTGAATTCAATCAATCCTGGTGGACGAAGTTTATCTATCTAGGTTAGTCCATACAGTCTATACAGTCCATACAGCCATGCAGATAGAGTACTATGTATGTAGAGTACTATGTATGAGATTTAATTAAGCTTATGATTCCCATTTCTGGTTGAGCAGGAACCTGGGAGTACTGTACCATACTGCTGGGACAGAAAAGCCCTTCTGCTTGCTTGCTTAACTTCTCATTCTCATTGTACGAGAGCTGGGACAGTCCTGTATTGAATTTTTGGCGGATAGAGTCTGGATGAGTCTGTATTCCGGAGTATGAGGGTACTGTACTGTGTACAGTACATATTGTAGGGGGTGAGTTCAGAGTCCGGACTTTATTTAGGTCAGTCAGTCAGTCAGTCAATCAGTCAGGTGATGTCATTCATTCATGTCTTTATTGTCGGTGATCTCTGTGTTTGCTCACCACCCGTCGCCGGATGCGGAAGACCTCAGAGCTCTGGCACAAAGAGACAAGATCTATTTTTGACCTCTTTGTATGCCTACAGGCATAAATATGGGCTCAAATCCCCCAGGAGACTTTCTTCCTAGATTATTCCTGTTTACTAGAGTGCTAGTATCAATACAGACTGGATCTTTGCCTTATGGCTGACTGCCTGTTTCGCCGACATTTATCTTCAAAGTTCTCGTGACAAGTTTCCAAATCGAGTATTCTCTAAACAAACCATTTTTTTTAAATCTATTTCAGTACAGGAGAATTGCACCTTCAATCCACAATGATAATGTCTATTCATTCATTCATTCATTCCTATCTTCCTATCTAATTGATTTCTGAAAGAATCTCTCTCTCTCTGTCTCTCTTTTTCTCTCTCTGAGATCTCATCTCATCACTGCCGTCGTCGTTAATTACATGCTTTTTGCTTTTCTTTTTTCGTAATCATGCCACGCTCATCCTCATCTTCCAAGAAACAACAAAAAAATAAGGAAATGAGTAAATGAGTAAATGATGCAATGAAAAAGAAAAAAGGAAAAAGAAAAGGAAAGAAATGCAACATGCTCATGCACAGATATAATATAATATCAATCAATCAGTCAGTCAATCAATCAATCAAATCATGACGAAACAGAAACAGTCAAAGGAAAAGAAAAGAAACATTTTAGAGAGTGGAAATCGTCATAACAAACCGAAAAGAAAAAAGGAAAAAAAAAAGTCGTCACGTCGTACTCGTTTCTCTGGAAGAGTCATTTTTTCTGAATAGATAGAATGGAACAAACCTCGTCATAAACACATAAACAAAGGCGAAAGGCGAAAAGCGAACATCAATCCGCTATGCAATGAAATGCCATGCAATACACCTAGACTCCGTCTCGTCGAATAATAAAATAAGACATCACAGATGCGAAGACATAAGCCGGTATATCAGATCGGAGGCCAGCTCGGTGGTCGTGTCGAGCAACTCGCGCAGGCCGAACGCCGGCGCGCCGACAGCAGCAGGCGAGTATGCGGCCAGCTCCTTCATCTTGCAGGCTGCATACTGCGTCACCAGCTTGCGCAGCTCGCTCTCGCGCAGCATGGTCGCCTCCGTCTGGCACACGGGCTCCAGACGAGCCGTCCGGCCGTAGGTGTAGTGCAGCAGGTCGAGGATCATCTTCGCGCGGGCCTCGAACTTGAGGGCCTCCTCCTCGTCCTCCTCGCGACTGACCGGCGTCAGCGACAGGTTCAGCAGCTCCCGGTGCAGCTTCTTCAGACACAGCTGCGCCAGCCCCGGGATGAGATAGCGCGTCGCGAAGACGTAGACTTTGGCGTGGAAGAGCAGGTATGGCACCCGGGGGTCCGGCGCTGGCCGTTTTATCGTCGGGTCGCGCTGTGTCGGCAGCTCGTGGACGTATTCGAGGCTCGCAAAGTCGTCCCAGGGATTGCCCCCCTTGGAGCGACGAGGAGCAAGGGGCTGCGGCGCAAACGACGTGTCGATCACGGGCACATTTCGAGGCTCCTCTTTCTTCTCTGCAGCGCCGTCATTCCCAGCGGCGGGCTGCTGATTCCACCACTCTTCTGTCTCGCCGGGATCCGTCTCGACAGCGATGTCCTGCGCTGCGGCGTCGTCCTTGGGCGCGTCCTCGGCGGTCTCGTCTTTCGGGCCGTCGTCCTCCTTGCCTTCTGGCGGCGGCGTGGACGGAGGCGTCAGATTGGCAGCCTCGTCGAAAACGACGCCTCCCTTGGACTTCTTCTTGTCTTTCTTGCCCTTCTTCTTGCCCTTCTTCTCGGTGCCAAACGTCAAGCCCTCGTCCTCCTGCCCCGCGGGGGCATTTCCGTCGTCACCAGCGGGCTCTTCTCCTTGATCCTCCGCGCCTCCTTCGATCTTGCTGTCGTCGCCTGGCGTCGTCGGCTCGAGAGGAGGCGACGGCGCGGGCGGAGGCACGCAGCCAGCCTGGCTTCCTCCGGCCTGGTGCTTCCAGGGATCAGACGCCTGCGGGGGCGAGTCGGGCTGCGGGCCCGGCGGCACGGTGTAGTCGTTGGTGTAGGCGTACTCGCAGAAGGCGACGAAGACCTCGACCTCCTCTTCCTCCAGCACGGCGATGCGGACCTTGGACTCGCGGGTCTCGCCATTGTTCATGAGATGGTCGAGCGGTTTCGAGACATGCTTGACCAGCGCGGACTGGATGGTCAATTGGGTGTGGTTGGGGCCGACGAGGAAGGTGAAGGGTTGCGAATGGATGATGCTGTAGTCGAACGCCGCTCGAAAGTTAGCGGGTCTTTTGGAATTGGTGCGTGTTATCTCTGAATTTTTTTTTCCCCATTCTTGCCAGATCGTGTAGAGGCTGAGCTCCTACACCATGCTGACAGGTCTCCCAGCAGTGTTATTACTTACTTGTTGAAGTCCCGAATCGTCTCCATGGCTCTCGTCTGTCTGCTCTCCGGACCACGATCGCGTCGATGTCCCGGAGAATCAATTCGCTAGCTGACTAGCTGAAGGCGGACGTCGTTGTGAAGAATATACAGTCGGACAACTCCTCTTCTCTCCTGCTCGTGTGTAGCGTCTACATGAAGGCTACGGACCAGAGGAACGGGCCCCTTTTTCAGTGCTCCCAGTACAGACAGGATCACGCCCGTCCGGTGGCTGGCAGGCTACGTGGAAAGACATGATGGGCGTTGCACATTGCTGGTGCTTCTTGCCAGCGCTATGATGCCACCAGCAGCAGCAGCAGCAGCACCAACCTGGACGGTGCGGTCGCCGCGCACAGTGGAGTACATTATCGCAGGAGCGATGCCACGAATCAGAGATGCTGGTTTCCGCGCTAGACAGGTGAGGCGAGCTTCGATAAGGGCCTTTTTTAAAAAAAATTTCCTGCCTAAAGGAATAATGTCTCTTTCTCTGCCTTATTTGCTTCGCGTCTTCCCCAGATCTATCCGATACGGTGGTGACTGTCAAGTGACTGCTCCATTGGCAGTGTTGGCACGATCAGCACGGAGATCTGCGCCTTCGACTTGGACTTCTCGCGACCCCACCGGTTGTTGGCAGGCTGGCAAGGCCTCACAAGACGGCGCCGTTGACCATCGATATTCTTGTCCAATGGCACGGACGGCCCGCTGGCGTCGTCTGGTCCTTCTCCTGGACATGTGGCTCTGCATGCTGCAGGCCCGAATCGCACAGGCTGCCACGGTGGCTGGGAGGGCGTGCGGTGGTGCAGGGTACACCGCTTCATTGATTGGGCCCTGCCCCGAATTAATTGCTGGCGTGCTTCCCAGCCTACTTATTTTTTTAATTTTATTTTGGTCCTGTGCTTATCCGGGAAATAGGGGAGGCTGGTGTTCTATTTTTTCTGTGACATCGGCCCGTCGCATGGAGATAGCTACTACTACTAAGAATAGGATACCCACCGGTGTCACTCCGTCGACGGCCATGTGTACACTGTACGCAGAACAGTCGATATCAAAATGTATATCTTCTGAAACAGAACCTCCGTCTCCCCCTCAACGTAGGCTCCTCTTTTCAACGTCCACATCTGTACTGTACAGAGCTATATACACGACTGCTAGCTGCCCAAAAGTCAAGTCAATGGACCAAGCGGATCTCCGTCCTGCCCGGTTCCCACTCTCGCAACCCGTCCGCCAGACTGTACCAGAACCGTAGCCGGACACACTCCGCCCGAGCAGCCTCGATGTCCCCACGATCGAACGCTTCGCCCAGCGCCTTGACCGACGCATCGATCCGGGCGGCATTCTCGTCCCGCAGGCGGTTGATGGTCGCTTCCGCCTCAGCTTCGGGGAGGCTGCTTGCCTCCTCGACCGTCTCCTGCGCCTCCATCACCTCCATGAGGGTCTCGGGATCGAGCGCGTGTTTCGCGGCGCCGTCCTCCGCCGTGACGTCAATGCCGTGCCACTGGGACAGCAGGTACTGCGCACGATGCAGGGGGTCGGCCAGCGTGCGATACGCCTCGTTGATGCGGGCCGACAGGGCTTCGGCGCGCTGCTTGGCCGGGCCGGGCGGATACTTGTCCGGGTGGGAGAGGGCCTGGAGCTTGAGGAACTCGCGCCGGAGGGCTGGCAGCGGGATCTCAAACGGCGAGTTGGGTGGTGGGCCTCCAGGGATCGTGTCCGGGAAGACGGTGTAGTGGTTGGTGAGGTCGGGCGTGAAGATGTTGTTGTTGTCGTTGTCGGCCACTTGCCCTGACATCTCTGGCTCTGTTCCTGCTTCATCTGCGCGTTCAGGCTCGTTCTTCACGTTGCCCTGGTTTCCCTGCCCCTGACTAGCAGTAGTCTGTGTGGAGCCCGTGGATGTGAACCAGCGTCGTTGGGCTGAAAATGGGAATTGTTGCGGCGGCGGGGAGGAGGTTGGTGCTCTCGTGGCGGTGCGATGCTGGCAGAGGAGGCAGACGCCGGTCGTCACGGCGGGACTGGAGACAGATGCTGAAACAGCAGCAGCAGGAGCAGCGATGGCAGGCCGTGACAGCGGCCCACTGGCGCGGCTGGAGGAGAGCAGCAGTCTCGTGGCACCACGCATGACGGAGACAAATCAATCGAAAAAAGATTCTAAAAAAGGCAGTCCTTTCGTTTCGCAAGACGCCAGGACAGCATGGAGATGTGTTCGATGAGAAGGGAGCGGATTTGTTTTCCGCCTGGGGAAGCAGATACGTGGGCAGTTTATCAGATGAAGAGAAGGAATTGAATTGAATTTGCAGGCAGTTCTCGGCTCGGGCTTCGGACCCGCTTACGTCACTCGTGCCCGATCCGACGCTAGCCGTTCTGGGACTAGAGCTGCTTTCCGAAACAGGCACAACTGTACATTTAAGAAATTGGAATGAAGACTGCAGACATTATTATTGTCATGGACATCCAGACAGTACGTATTCACTAGGTATATGCTACTTTCTAAACAAGTCCCTTCTGAGTAGACATACGAGTACCGCAGGCCTTGCAAGCGTCAGAGTGTGGCCGTGGTCGTGGCCGGACGGAGTTGCGAAGGGATTGGCTAGTCATTGGACTGTGATGAGTCAGCAACAATTGCAGCCAATGGCAACTCGCAACGCTGAGCTGGAGCTGTATAGCTCACTCCCAACCTTGGAAATCAGGGCAACCATCACCATCCAGCAGGATTGACTTCCTGTACAAACACCGTGTCTGATCGAGGCGCTGGTCGCTCACCATCTGGGTCTGAAATCTCCCGAGAACTGTGTCGTGTCGGTAGATATAGCGAGGTATGTTGCCTATATTATTGCTACCGAGAAGAGTCAAGTCACTGCCTAAGCGCTTCGATTCGATGGCAGGAGCTAGGCAATCAACATACCGAGTCCGACCTGCCTATAGGCATATCTACCATTATAACATATCCCCCTGATGGGACTGGGACCCCTGGCTAAAGTGGGTAGTTCGATCCTCGCCCCGCTGGGGGTCCCCGGTTCGAAGCACATGATGATGTGCATGGTTTTTTTTTCTAGTTGTCTAACTGAGTCTTTTTTTTTATAGCCTTCATGTTTGCGCAGAGACGCGGACATAAACCGATATAAGATATTCCTACGACAAAGAGCTTTATTTTATTTCCCTTCAATTTCCCTTCAACGCTCGAGAGAGAACACTGCAGTCGTGTGATCAGTTAACTACCCTACTGGACATACTTCAGCGTCGATAATGATACATATGTGAACGATCTCTTATCGTGTCATGACAACCGTTTACTCCATGAAGAGAATGCGGTCAACGACATTCCTGACTGCTGGGCAGCCTCCCTTCCGGCTGAATTCATGAAGACACCATATTGGCTGACTAACCAAGCAGTAGACGTGATTGACAGGGACAGTTACAACCTGCTTTGCGAGGAGTTCATGAAGATCTTTGAAGAAGAAGAGAAACAACAGCAGGTGCATCAGAGTGGCATGCAATATTCATCCATTATGAAGAAGGGCTGGGAAATGGGCACGATTTGGTACGTTCTAGCATTGCAAAGCCCAACTGGCCTGAATACGCTGTTCTACAGCCATATCCAGCCGTATAATTACTCGGAAAAGCATGCTGACGACGGGAACTTCTATGCCATCACGTGTCTGTATTGGTCGCGCAACACGCCCGCCATCATCAAAAAGAAGGTGGACGAAAAGAAGGCCTATGATGAGAAGCTTCGACAGGCGTTTGCAGAAGCAGAATCCTGAATGAATCAGATAGACTGACCAATCGACAGAGAGAAAGAGAGATGTTAAATTGAATTGTACTCAGAAACTAACATAAAACCCAGTCTCTGGCTGGGTATATACCTCTCTGGACATGTATAAAGACTTACTTCCAGGACAGCGACCAGAAGTCAGAACTAAGGAAGTTTGTTTACTCAGAAATGCGAATATTTAAATCATTACTAAATAATACAGTACATGAATAAAAAACAAAAATCAGCAGGTCTGACAAGCAAAAAAAGAATCATCAGATCCTCGTAGAAAGCGTGTAGAAGAAGGATTCAGTAATAGTAATGGTCCCTATCTATGTTTAGACCTATATCATATATATTATATATAGATCAGTTATTACCATACATGTCGCGGTACAAGATTGTGACCTTGACGGATGGCATCCTTGGATCACATGGTTGATCCATAGTCATCACGTGTAAGGATCATCCATATCTTGTACTGTACATACATACATAGTAGGAATATCCTTTATAGATCCTCTATCAAGCTTCCTTCATAGTCAAACTAGGTCTTCGGGTTCTCCAAGACTGTTTCTCCCCCCCCCGGTGAAGTTTATAGTCTTCCAGTTCTTCCGGTCAATTTGGCCGATGAGTCCCGACTCTCTTGGCTTGACCATTTATTTGAATCCAAGCATCAACAACAAGAATTCTGATGTCTCAAAAAAAGAGGTCCCGGATTGAATTCACCATTCAAGTCTTGTGGAATTTAACAACATGTTATGAACATTCCTTATTAAGGGATATTAAGCAGATCCTGCATTCTGCAGAATATATAACGTAATTAAAAAAAGGAAAAATTAACCTTTTATTTCAGAATCAGAGATAGATTGTTATTAATACTTTAAAGATTTAAACTAGGTTAATTGTTTGTGTATCTTAGAAACCTGGCATACATAAACAGATTTTTTAAAATGTTTTACAATTAAATAGCCTATTAAGGTTTTTTTCTTAAAAAAAATCTATTAAGAGATAGTGCATTAGTTTTTATGTCTAAAATTTAGCTAGCTTGTTGTTTAAAGGAATACCTACAATTACGGACAAGTTTTCAAAAACAAAAAATAAGTCCATATATCTCACAAGCCTGTCTTTATGCGGCCCACGACCAAAAAAAAGGCTGTATTATGACTTTGTTGATTTGGCAGGACGTATCATTAATATAATTAATAAAAGACGACATACGGTGAGGATCATCCGCGTTATCAGGATTGATTGAGATTTAAAACTCCTCACTGCTCAGAGAAGAAGCACTGCATCTCATCTAACTAAACCCAGAGGGCCTTATATATAAGACAACTCCCAGCTGGAAGGGAAGACCTTTTTCGACTAAGATAGATGAAACAAACGCTGGAGAGAGTTTCAGTTTGAACGTCGCAGTTGGGGAAAACTGCAATTTAGTCCGTAGTCCCAAAGGGAATATTTGATCTTCATTTAATTTAGTCGCTACAATAAATAATATATACTGTCAAACAAAACTACGGAGTAGGGCACAAAAAGAAAAATAAAAAAAACCTAGGTTATCTATCTAGTGAATATCCCTAGTATGATTGATAGCTGCCGGTTGGCAAATACATATAAATACATATACAGTGCATATGTCATCTGAAATGATTATCGTATCATACTACATGTATATATGTATTTATTCTATAGAATTCTATAGAATGTGTTCTCCATTCATCCAGATTTCAGACCATAATAAGAATTTTACTATTATTTATTGCTCGTACCATGTTAGGACTGTATATATAGAAATATATATGGGCTATACATACATGCAATAAATATACCAACAAGACCCTGAGCATTCTGAGAATATTAATCAAGATATATCTTCCCGCAAAAAAAAGACAATACCAACAATCCCCACCATACTCATGATCATACTCATTATATTATACTGTCTGTCTGTCTGTCTGTCCACCCTCTACAGAAATAGCATCTATCATATTATATCATATCCTATCAACGTTATTACTATTAGAGGTAGTTATGTATATACAGTATGTACAGTATGTACAGTACATAGCTCAGCTCAGGGTTCAGGATATACTATATATTACTATGAAGGGATATTATGGATGGATACTACGGATGAATGGATGAATAAGACACAGCAATACAGTAAGTAGCACGGCTAAAAAAGAAAAAAAAGAATTTAGAGTACATAATCATCATTTCCATTTCCATTTCAATTTCTATTCCTGGTAGCAGTTACCTAGTTACGTAGCTAGGTACTGTACCTAGGTAGAGAATAGATAAATAGATAACTAGATCCCACCCGTGAGATCCGATCCGATCCGATCCCATATATCTAATCTAATCTAATCGACCTAGTTAGTCAGTCATGTAATCAATTCTTCTTCGTCTTCCTCAGGAAGATTTCTGGGACAGTCTCTACCAAAGGCTGGGCGAGAATTTCACCCGCAGCCAGTGCCAGGCCCCTAGTCGAGATAGAAGAACAGTGGTTTTCAACACAGACAGACAAAGCTACAAGCTATGCCTGTCGAAAGATCCCTTGTCCTTGGTCTTAATGACATGACCGGGACGTCAAGACAAGACTGGCTGGCTGTATGTGGTCAGGAGATCTGGGCCAGTGCTCCATCACAGGGCGCTAGAGGGGAATGTCTGCTCCAGAGGCTCCTCTGCTCGCCGGCGACGGTGGAGCCAACCATCATCTGCGAAGCTCGACATGTTCGATGTTAGGATTTCATCCCGTGCTTTCATTCAATCCCCCACAGCTTAACCGTCCGATCATGCCCCGAACTCGCAATCCACCTTGCGTCATCGCTGATGTCGACGCTGAGGACCTTGTCCGAATGCCCGCTCAACGACTTGACCAACGCCCAGTCATCCGCGCTGAAGATGTTGACGTTGCGGTCGAATCCGGCCGTGATGAAGAACGTGCCCGCTTTCCGGGGCTGTGGTGGTGTCGGTGTCTGCGACGGCGCGGATTCACTGGTATCCATAGCTGAGGAGCCGTTCTGCGTCTGCGTCGATGGGAGATACGTAGATGATTCCGTCCCCTTGTACCACCTCACGTCCGCCACGACGCTGCGATGGCCTCCTATACTACCTGTACATCGCACCTGTCTCAGATCCCAGCATTTCACCCACCCGTCCCCAGAGCCTGACAGCACCCGATACCCATCCACGCCCCAGTCCAGCCCGTAGATCTCTCGGATGTGACCCTCCAGAATCATAACCGTGCGGCCGGTGCGCAGATCCCAAATGCGGCCGAGACTGTCCAGGCCTCCACTGGCCAGCAGCGAACCATCAGAGTTGAAGGCCACCGTATAAACCTCTCGAGAGTGCCCTTCCTGCAACAGCAGCTCCGTCGTGGTCTCGACATCCCACAGCCGCCACGTCGTGTCGTAGGACGCCGAGGCCAAATACTGGCCCGAAGGGTGGAATTCGACGCGGCAGACACGCTCAGAGTGACCCGACAGTGTCGCCAGAGGCTGCGTCTTGTCCAACGACCAGAGAACAACGTTGCCCTCTCCGCCTCCAGAGGCCAGGTTCACGGCCGACTCGGACACGTTCGATGACGGCAGGGTGGCGCCGGGGAACCATGACAGACCACTGACTCGGTCCGTGTGGCCGCGGAGGTTGACCTTCTCTTCGAGATTCGGTACCGAGAGCAGTCGGATGCCTCCTGCCCAGTTCCCCGTCGCGATCGTCTGTCCGTCGGGGGAGAACCGCGTCATGCTCACCGGCCGCTCGCCCGCAATCTGCGACCCGTAGAGATCAAAGCCCTGCAATTTCTCCTTGATCGCCTTGCGATGCTTGATGTGCGTTCGCAAGGGTATCGTCGATTCGAGCTTCTGACTGGCCACCCGCGCCTTGGCCCGGGGCAAGGAATACAGCGCGATCTTCCTCCGCGCATTCAGCAGCTCCTGCGTGCCCTCCGTGTAGAATTCCTCCTGCTGCTCTGCCTCCTCCTCCGCTTTCTCCGCCTCCGCGGTGGCTTCTCGCATCTCAACATCGCCTTTCCCCTCGGCTTCTTGCTTCTCCTGCAGGTCGGCCAGGAGCTCTCGTAACCGATCTCGTCGGTCGGCTGGACCCTCGCCGAAGAGCGTGATGGGCTCGCCTAGCTCACGTAGTCGCGCGCGCACTTTGTTATCATCCGTCGGGACCGCGATCGCCGCCGCTCGCCGTTTTCGCTCAAACTGCGACAGAATGGCCGAGGCTTTCTCGGGGGCAATGCCTGCGGCGGCTGATGGTAACTCATAATCGCGATCGACGGCTAGAGAGAGGATTCAGGTCAGATTTGAACGTGGCAGACAGAGTCTAGGGCAAACTTACGGACATCGGCAAGATCAATGCCCTTGTCTTCCTAGAAGAGACAACCGTCGTCAGCAAGTAATCATAAGAACTATGACTTGAAAGTAAACAAAAGCTTCACGAGAGTATCCATATCCAATTGAGAAAGAAAGAGTTTTCCAGACAGGGAGCAGAGAAGCTCTCTCTTACCTCCGCGTCCTCCACATGCGCCTGCCTCGCAGGATGCGCCATCTTGACGGATAGAATCTAGCTTTGTCCAGAACGACCGTGTGAAGTATTGTCGACGAGGAGCAGTTGATCGCGAGAGGAGAGAGCCCAGAACAGGGCTTCGTTCGTCGGTCGTGGGGGATCAGATGCGTGGTCAAGTTAGGTACTTAAGTTTTGGCTGCGGAAGGAAGAAGCTTGCTTGAAGCACTTGACCGCCGCGGAGGCATCACCATCACGCCCCACAAATTAAAGAAGTGCTTCGAGAGAAGAACAATTCAAAGCCAAAACTGCTGCTTCTGTTGATTGGAATTCGAAATGCTAAATTATAACTCACAGTACTATTTACTGTAGAAAAAAAAATAAAAGGGTAATTTAATTAGATGTTATTCCAATATTCCCACTAAAATTACATACATTCTCCACTATAACATTGAACCCATAACTGATACTACTATATAGCAAGCAATGAAAACTAACATGCAACTAGAACGTCATGACAAGCAATAGTCGGAGACCATAATCGCATTCTGCAAAATGAAATCAATGACTGCTGATCGTCATCACTTGGTTGGTATATAGATAGATATAGATACATAATAGTCTAGCAGTGTTGTACATGCAGTGAGACAAATAAAAGGATATGAAAAGAAATCGATGGTCAGACACCCTGGCAGACGATGCTGTTGATCTGAACTGTACTGTACAGTACGTCTATATGCGAGTATTAATTAATGCAATGAATGGTCCTGATCCGGCCTTCAATAGGCCCCTTCGTTGTATATCCTCCCTATCCATAATCGACAAAAGTATCAGGTGTGTTTCGCTTCGAGAACTGAACTGAGCGATCATCCCTCCTCAACAGCCATGATAACAAGCGCACAAATGTCATCAACCTTGCCGCCACGGTAATACTCTGACGGAAAGTATCGCTGCGCTTCCTTGGCAAAAGGCCCGTCGCGCCGCATGTCGACGCTGGCAATCTTGGCTTCTCCTACTATCGAGGCTGCTAGGAGACCCTGAAGGGTAAGACGAGTGAGAGGGTTGGTGGTGGTGGTGGTGGCGTTATTACCTGACGATGAGGAGGACGAGTCCAGCCCACCAGGTCGAGTCAGCTCAGCTAGACGGGGCGAAACACTGATGCTGCCCTGAGCTGAGCCCGTCCACGCTCCGGTTACCACCATCCGGCCCGTCACGATCTTGAGAATATCCTGGTTGTTGAGATTGTCGAATACGCCGTCTGTCGCGAGCACGAGGACGTCGCCGTGCTGCATACTCACGTTGGTCACCGCCGCGTCCCGGGGCAAGTCCTCGAAATATTCACCACCAAAAATGGCGGCCTGCGCGCGCATTCGGGGTGGGATCACGCTGAGCTGGTAGGGGGTGTTGAATGCATGGGTCTGAGGCGTAGAGTAATGATGCACGGCAGCGAGACGAAGGAGAACGGAGCCAGAGTCACCAAGACTAGTTGACAGTCAGTATAAAAAAAATATCTAAACAAAATATCTCAGTCCCAAGATGCAGAGATGCAGAGCCATACTTTGCTAATTCCACACTGCCGTCTGTCTGCGCAACCCCGACAGAGGCCGTACTGCCCCCAGCCACGATGGACCGGTCCTCCAACACGCGGTCATATCCCATCTGGAGCAGATTCTTCGGACGCAGCTTCTCTGGAGGAGAGCTCCAGGCCAGCGCCTCCCGAGCCATATAGCCGCACAGGCCATGCGAGAAGTCTGCCGGATCGACCCTAGACTCGGCCCATCCTCCGACCCCGTCCGCGACACCGAACGCGACAGCTCCTGTCTTGTCCCCCCCTCTGTCTTTGTTGCCGATTCTGCTCACGAAGAAGGCATCCTCGCCACTGTCTGGGCGCTTCTTGCGCTTGGCCGTAGAGTCCTTGTTGTTGCCGTTGCCGTCGTCGGGAATAAGACCCAGGGCCTCGTGCACCGTCGGATCGAAATCGTAGGTATTCTTCTCGAAATGAAAGCAACGGCCCTTCGCGGAGCACGACCCCGCTATGCGATACGAGATGCGCGGTTTTTTCTCTGCGGACCAGGCATGACTCGAATGGAACGATCTCGTGCGTATCGGTTTGCAGTAGAGAGGTGGTTGTCTCAGTCGTAATCGGGAGGAGGAGGAGGAGGGACACGTCAAGATCAAGCGCAGGGATGATGCTGTCGAGGATCGTCCGGCGGCTGCCATGCCCTGAACACGCAATCACTGCTCCCAGCGTGCTTCTGCTTCTGCTTCTGCTAGATTACCTGCACCTGCAGCCGCAGTCACCTCACCACCAGCAGCTGGGGTGCTCCTAATCCCACCCGACGATTCCGAGACCCTCGCTGTGCCGCAGTAGGAGGAGTCCAGTAACAACAGTCAGCTGGAGGAGCATCGGAACAAACCCCTACACGGATAGGCCAGAAGCATGTATGTGCACTATTAATTAACCAGGGCAGCCTAGTAGAGTAGAGTAGAGTAGAGAGTAGACGAAAGGAGTGGAGAGGTATGAACTATATGAACAATCCAGACTGACGTGCGAGAAGAGAATTGCGCTGTTTCATGTTTTCCTTATCGGGAGGGGAGCTACGGAGTATTAAATTAATTGCTGCCGCACTAATTAGCGAAAAGACCTGCAAAATGCAAATGTATTATTACGCCAGCTTGCATTAGCATTGCAGCGGAAAAAAAAGGACCCATACACAGACTACTAAGACTACTCCGTACTCCGATAATTGCCGCCTTTTTCTTGTCAAAAATAGATAGATGGCCATATTTACGGCCTACCTTTTGTATACAATACAGCATACAGCATGATAATGACAGCACCATGGCATATTCCTCTCCAGGCTAATTTTCTTGTTCAGTTTACGTGGGTGCAGGGATAGAAAAATAGCGACATTAGGAAAAAAAAAAACACTACCACTACTCAAGAAGTGTTATGGTTTCGGTAGAGGAAATACGGAGTAAATGATTAGAT